TGCTGCTGCTGCTGCTGCTGCTGCTGCTGCTGCTGCTGCTGCTGCTGCTGCTGCTGCTGCTGCTGCTGCTGCTGCTGCTGCTGCTGCTGCTGCTGCTGCTGCTGCTGCTGCTGCTGCTGCTGCTGCTGCTGCTGCTGATCTGCTGCTGCTGCTGATCTGCTGCTGCTGCTGATCTGCTGTTGCTGCTGATCTGCTGTTGCTGCTGATCTGCTGCTGCTGCTGATCTGCTGTTTCCTGGAAACGAGGCAGAGGAGGCAGGAGGGGCAGGCAACAGCATGGCCGCACGGGTCAATGGGGGGGCACTGCGCCTCCTCACAACAGATCACACACCACCTGCTACCCGCTGCCTTGCTCGCCCCACCCTCGCTGCTTTTGCTCCCGCTGCCACCGCTGTTTCCTGTACCCAAAACTGTTCTGCTGCCACTGCTTCTGCTCCTCTCCTCATCAGCTGCTAGACCCTCGTTCCTGCTGGACAGCTTGGTCAGTGGCACATTGAGGTAGCCCACGGCGAGGCGAGCAAACTCTGCTGCTTTCACCCGCACTTGGTTCTCCTGCTCCTCCTTCACCTCCTCCCTCTGCTCCTCACTCTTTCTTTCCCTCTGCTTTTCCGTCTGCCTTTCCCCCTTCTTTTTCTTCCCCTCCTCCTTCTGCTCCTCCTTCTGCCCCTCCATCTCCTTTTCTCTCTCCACCCCACCAGGCCCAACCTCCTCTACCATCCCCACCATAACCCCCACAGCCCCCTCTGATATGGCCATAGCACGGTGCTCGGCCAGTGCTCCATCCCCCTCCCTCTTCTGAGGCGCCTCAAAAGCCGCCATTTCCATCAGAATCCCCACGGCCCCTTCTAAGAAGAACATAGCTCCGTGCTCCTCCTTGCCTCCCTTGCTCTTGCACACTGCAGCAGCCAGCAGCGCTCCCAGCCCTCGGGTCGGCGCCATGTGGCAGCGCAGGAGCCGTACGATTGGGGAGACGGTGGTCCAGATGAGGTAGAGGGGGAGGGAGGAGGGGTGCGAGGCGAGGAGGAACGAGGAGATGGAAGGGAGCGTGGGAGAGGAGAGGAGGAGGCGCTGTGCTTGCATGAGGTAAGAACAGGAGGAGGGGGTCGTGTCTTGCTCTCTCACAGAGAAACTTGTTCCAATACGGCTTGTCACATTGGAATGACAAGCAGTGGTGGCCAAGGAAAGATCACAACACGTACTGGCTGTGGCATATTCGCTGCCATCCTGCATGGGCTGAGTACCCTCCTGAAGCAAGCAGAGGTTGGCGAGAGTTAAGCATGCATACAGCCGACCCTCTTCTCGCTTCCCCTCCTCGTCTTCCTCCTCCTCCTCCTGCTCATCCTCCTCCTCTTCGTCTTCTTCCTCCTCCTCCTCCTCCTCTGCTTCTTCCTCCTCCATCTCTTCCACTTCCCCTTCCTCTGATATCCCTTCCATTTTTTCCTCCTCGTCGTCCTCCTCTTCCTCCTTTTCCCTCCTGAAATGCTCTCTCTCACTCGTACCCACTCCTTCTCCCTCTCCTTGCTCCCTTCTCCTTTCCCTCCCCCACCTTCAGCTTCTTGTGCTCTCCTATCAAGTTCCCCTTCCCCACCTCTTTCGCCTCCTTCTCCTTCCCCACCTCTTTCCCCTCCTTCCCCTTCCCCACCTCCCTCTCCTTCCTCTCCACCTCCTTGCCCATCTCGCCCCTCTTGACTTCTACAGTTGACCTGAGTTGACTGGCACTGACTGCAGTTGACCTGCGTTGACTGGCACTGACTGCAGTTGACCTGAGTTGACTGGCACTGACTGCAGTTGACCCGCGTTGACTGAGGGAGCGACTGATCAAGGAGGCTCAGGAGGGGCGATAGGCATCTGTAGCGCACGATCAGAGCGGGCCCTAGGCTCTGATTGGCTGAAATGTGCCACAGAGCCCCCGCTGCTGCATACTGTGTGTGTGTGGGAAAAACGGGGGACAAACGGAGGGAAAGAAAATGGGGGGGAGAGAGAAAGAGGGGAGCGAGAATGGGGACACACAGTGACTGGGAACAGAGAAAGACAGAGTGCAAGGGACAGAGAAGGACAGAGTGCAAGGGACAGAGAAAAGAGGGAGAGAGGGAGGGGGGACAAATAGAGCAGAGGTGCTGTGGAAAATAGAGCAGGGGTTGGGGGTCGGGGGTGTGTAGGGAGGCTTGGGGAGGAGGAAAGAGAAGCGGGAAGGGAAGAACGGGGGAAAACGAGGGCGGACGGTGAGAGTGAGAGTACTTTTGAGGCGCCTCAAAAGTCGGACGGTGAGAGTGAGAGTACCTGCACCGAGGGCCGATGGTGACAAAGCAGGGCGAGCAGCAATGGCAGCAGGCCTGCTGATTCAGCACGTAGGCAGTTCAAATCAACCTGAGAGAGGGAGAGAGTGAGGAGGATATGAGTGAGACGGGGGGATGAGCCTTCCAGTTTTAAAACTGGAAAAATGAAATTAGGGAATCTGTTTTTCCAAATCGTTCTTACAGAATAACAGATGCTCCACACGGCAAGGCAGGAGTGTTTCAGCAAGGTAACTTTCAAGTCAACTCCAAAGAGGTGAGTGAATTGGATGATTATTCAGGGCGCTCTTACAGAGAAACAGATGCTCCACACGGCAAGGCAGGAGTGTTTCAGAGCCAACAGATCGCCTTCCGGCCTCAACGCTAATGGAATCAACAAAATCATGGGATATGTTTTTATCATATCTCTCTTACAGAGTAACAGATGCTCCACACAGCGAGGCACGAGTGTTTCAGTGCCAGCACATCGCCTTCCCGCTTCGAGCCTTTCCGCCTCCAATCTCCTGACCTCGACTCATCCCCCCTCGACCCTTCCCGCCTCGAGCCTTCCTTGTTTGAATCGTCTTTTCTGGTGCCGTCGTGTTGCAGAGCTCGACACTCTCGACCACATGCATGATGGTGCTTGCGGCAATGTGCATGGTTGCAATGGTTCTTGCTGGGATGACTGGGGTGCCAGTGGTGGTGCAGGATCCGAGCGAGCAGCTCCAGTGCTCCCTCCTCCATCACAAAAATGTGTGTGTCTGGAAATCATCCGACCATTATTTTTTTTCACAAGGGTTCCAAAAACGTTTGAGAATCATTCAGTAATCATCTAACTACCATTTGTATAGCATTTTTGTCAGACCAGATGATATGCTGATGTTTTATTAACGGTTTACCAATGTTTCAATGGTTTGTTTAACAGATGATGTTTGTTGAAACAATAATAAGGTTGCATAAATTTGTGTTTCACAATCAATTTATGTTATGGTTGATCGATATAGTTGCAACTTAATCATGCTTCCTTAATTCTGAGAGGCAGTAAGGTGAAAGTTTTATCATGGAGAAAGAAGCTCTAGAATCCACTGTAAGGACTTGATCCCTGGTCTCCGTGACGAGAGCAATATCAAAACCGACTGGACCACAACGGATGCATTCTGAATTCGTAATTTTTTTAAATAAATTTTGAACGCGTATTTTCCTAGCATCCAAGTGTCGACATCACGCCATGGTCCCCAACCAGCCCAGAAATCTCTCTAACCAACCAAATTCGCCTCATTCAATCCAGCTCAGCATACCACTTTGCCCAACCAATCAAAGCCGGCATTGCATCCACCTCAACAAAATCAGGCCCAACCACCACCAATCGTGCCAACTAACCCACCCCATCCACACCACCTCTCAGCACTCTACCCGTTACGCTTGCACAAAAAAGGTGAAGTGGGCTCTCAATTTGTTATTCTAGAGTGGCTGTGACTGATTTCAGTTTAGTTCTTCCTTACTTTAGCACGTTTTCCAATCTCGTTATCTCAACCGCCGCCATAGTCTCAACCGCCGCCATAGTCTCAACCGCCGCCATAGTCTCAACCGTCGCCATAGTCTCAACCGTCGCCGTAGTTTCAACTGTCGCCATAGTCTCAACCGTCCCAATAGCTCGTGATTTCTCGCAATTGCCACGAGTGCGCCTAATTGGCCGTGTGTCTTTCCCCTCGTGCACTCCGTTTTCTTTGTGTAGGTGTGTGCTCCGTTTAAATTCCTCTTGATCAACATGTGCAGGTCGAAGCTTAGGTCGCGCTGTTTTCTGATTAAGGTCACGTCCGATCCTTCCCTGAGTTAGCCGAAATTGTTATCTAACTAATGTCGTTGGCTCTGTTTCTACTCTCATGCAGTCCGTTTACTTCGTGTAGCCTTGTGCTCCGCGATGCATATCTCTCTCCGGGTTTTAATTCTTTGTTATCCCCATGTGCAGGTCGCGCGGTTTCCAGGTTGAGGTCGCGCTACGTTCCTACTCTTGCGCTTATGTGAACTGCTAGCTAATGAAACGTTTTCGTTTTTGTTCGTTTATTTCGCTGGCAGGCGGTTTTATACTGTATTTCCTATTAATCTCCGGTTTCAAGTACTCCTTTTTCAGGTAAGCATTATGTTTACATGTCACTGGTTTAAATTCATGGCTAACTCTTATGGTGAACTGCAGGGGTTGCTTGGTGATCTGCAGATGGTTCTGTCTTCGGCCAAGACCATGCCCACATCATGTATAAGACGTAGATCACCCCCTGCAGTAGGCGAGGGTAGTTCTATATATTTCTATCTGCCATTGTGCCATGGATATATTTTACATGTTGTTGGCATTTCTATTAATGGGAAATCTGAATTGTTAATATTAATAACGTTTGTGGAATGTCCAATAATAAGCAGTATGAAGTCAACATTCAAACTCACTGAAGAGTACAATGCAATCAGATCTAGTCTCCAAAATCACTTCGCGAAAACTCATACCAAACGTCAGTCGAAGGTATTCAAGATGCAGTTTTGAACAGAGAAGCATTCGAGTACCATTTGAAAAGCATTCGACAAAGCATTTGGAAAACGACCTATACTTTCTCAAAAAAGCGTTTGAAACCCTACGTTTATAAATCATTTGAAAAAGCTCCAACGAACCTCTTTTCATCGGCTTTCTGGACGCTGGATTTTTGTGATGTCCCCAAGCTGCTCTGCATACAATCACACACCAGTCACACCACAATCACACCGAAGTCACACGATGATGGTTGCAGCAATAAGTGTGGGTCTTCGAATGGTGATTCCAGGCATGACTGGGGTGCCAGTGATGGTGCAGGATCCGAGCGAGAAGGTCCAAAGCGCCCTCTTTCCCAACCTGCTCTGCATGCATGCAGTCACAGCTCACATAACGCCAGTCACATCATGCCACAGTCACATCATGAGCAGCGCAGGAAGCTCGCTACTTTGACAAGCTGTGACTGCTGCTTGCACTATCAACACCATCATCTCAACTGATCTTCACCTGTCTCGCGCCATCTCAACCTGATTGCACCCCATCACACCGCCCTCCACCCACCTTCCGTTTGTTCCCTGGGTGGGCACACGCCAGCCCCCACAGGCAGCTCGTCATAGTGGCATGCAGCGACTGCTGCGTGCACTATTAACACCACTATCTAAACCCAATCGCACCCCATTGCACCACTCTCCACCCACCTTGCGTTTGTTCCCTGGATGGGCACACGCCAGCCCCACAGGCAGCTGGCTACAGTGGCATGCAGCGACTGCTGCTTGCACGCCCTGCAGTCACAAACTCAACCCATTCGCACCCCATTGCACCGCTCTCCACCCACCTTGCGTTTGTTCCCCGGGTGGGCACACGCCAGTCCCCACAGGCAGCTCGCTACAGTGGCATGCAGTGACTGCTGCTTACACGCCCTGCAGTCACAATCCCCTTCACTCAGCTAAACCCATCTGTACCTGTCTGACACCATCTCAACCCAATCATACCGCTCTCCACCCACCTTGCGTTTGTTCCCTGGGTGGGCACACGCCAGCCCCCACAAGCAGCTCGCTACAGTGGCATGCAGCGACTGCTGCTTGCACGCCCTGCAGCCACAATCCCTTTCTCTCAATCCAACCCCCTGCTCCCGCTGCTGCTGCTGCTGCTGCTGCCGCCGCTGCTGCTCTTTCGTCGAACTCATTTGCTCCTCCATCCTTACTACTTGCTCCTCCCCCCTTGCTCCTTGCTCCACCCCAGCACCTTGATGACCAACAGCGGGATTCAACCCGGCGTCCAGCATATGAGCAGCAAAAGTAGCAGCAGAACTAGCAGCAGCAGGATCAGCAACAGAGCCAATCCCGGAGTCAGAACTTTGAGCGACAGGAGATGCGGGCATGGGAGGCAGGTGGGAGAGCGAGCGTGCGAGCAGAGGCAAAATCCCTTTGCTCATGAGCAGGGACTTGAGCGTCTGTGGGGGGAGCAGAGAGGGTGAGCAAGGCAAGGCAGTGTGTGAGCGAGCGTGCGAGCTGAGGCAGAATGCCCTTGCTCATACGCAGAGACTTGAGTGTTAGTGGCGGAAGTAGAGAGGGTGAGGGGCGTGAAGCAAGGGTGGTAAATGCACGTGCACATGCGTGTGCTTTCACGGAATTGTTGCACAGGGGCAAAATGACATTGCTGACCAGTAGCGACTTGCGTGTCTGTGGGGAAAGCAGAGCGGGTGAGAGAACGGCAACGGGTGAACGGAAGGCAGAATGCTATAAATTAGAAGCAAAGACATCCAACGTAGAAAATAGCAACAGCAGCACGGAAAATCGGAGGAAGGGAAGGGGGAATGGGAGAGGAGGTATTTGGGGAGCGCGTGGGTGGGAAGGTGGACTGACATATTCCGAGTGGGAGAAACGGCTCAACGCGCGAAGCGCCTGATTTCTGACGTGTGGCTTTGCTGACGTGGCGGCCTCCAATAGGCCGTCGAGTATACCAGCCTCGTCCAGTGCGTGTGCAAGCTCCATTCTTCCCGGCTTCGAGGTAATGCCCGATGAAAAAACGAGTGCTCACGTTGGGTACTACTTCACCCAGTAAAAATAAGCGACGCCAAAATAGTTGAGTGAAAATGAGCACCTAATGAAAATGGTAGTTCAAAGGCATAAAATGTAACTCGGAACTTATCCGTGAAAGTTAGAAAGTCGTCGGTCCGTCAGACGGGCATGAAGCCACATCGTCTCGAAAGTGCAACAGGTAAAGCATATCTTCGGCGTCAAGAAACGCAATGGACAAGTTTTGAGGCGCCTCAAAACTAAACGCAATGGACGTGTGCATTCGTTTAGGACGTGAGCTGTTGTGAGCGTCGTTAGAAACGCTATGTTGCTCCAAGGATGAGGAATCTAGGGCAGTACTGATGCTCCTGGAGGCAAATCTGCTTTGCGGACTCGGTAAAGACTCGCTGCAAACAAAATTCCTTAACATCGCAACTTCGCGTCAACAACCCAAACGCTAAAATGCATTTCACTGAGCATTTATTTATATATATAAATATATTTCTAGATGCTTCAGTTTGTCCTTTTATTGAACTCCTTGTCACTCTCCTGATTCGTCTTTATCCATTCCCCCACCTCTTCTTCTTGAGCTTGCAATTGCCGATCGAAGGGCAACTCCACATCCATCTCACTTTCCCCGACATCCTCCCTCCCCTCCCTACCCTCTCCTTGCAACTGCATTATCCTTCTCCTCTCGGTCAGCTGAATCCTCCACTCCCTCTGAAGCTGCTCTAACTCAAGCTCCACCCCTTGTTCTTCCTGTAACTTCTCCCTAGCGGCGACTTTGTCATCTACTATCCCTTTTGATCTTATATCGCTTAAAGAGCCTACACTGAAAGATCCCGCTCTATGGCCTGGCCTCAAAGAACCTTCTGATTTTTCCTGCAAAGAGCTTGCGGAAGGCTCAATGCCAAGGTATGTTGCCAGGCTTGCACTGGGGGTTTGCTGGGACCATGCCTGAGACGAAGGTCCGGCCAGGCCGGCTGGACTTTTGGCGAAGCCCAAGTGACTCGCGCCCCTCTCTGCACCCGTTTGTACTGGTGAAAACTGGCCACGACCGGCAGTAGAAGCACCTACTCCAAACCTTACACCAGAACTGACACTGTAGCCTGCTCTTGATGCTGTTCCTGCTGCAGCGCCAGCGTTAAACCCAGAACCAGCAGCAAATCCAGGTCCGGTTGCCAAACCAGAGCTGGCTACCAAACCAGAGGACCGAACATCACCACCCAAACCAGCAGCAGTTTCAACAACGGCACCAGACGCAGCACCAGACGCAGCAGCAGCAGCAGCAGCAGCAGCAGCAGCAGCAGCAGCAGCAGCAGCAGCAGCAGCCAAAGCAGAGGAGACAGCCGCATCCGCAGAAGCAGTATCCACTCTGCCTGCTCTTCCGGATAAGTCTGCTCCAGGGTATGAGCCTGCTTTGCCAGACCATCCGAAGGTAGATAGGGCTGTAAGGCTGAAAGGTGAACCTCCAGCAGCAGCAGCAGCAGCGCCGGGGAGAAAATCAGCAGAGCCACCACCCGGGTCAGCAAAGCCACCACTAAAGGCAGTAGTGGCAGGATAGACCCCTGTAGGACGAGCAGCACTGCTCACACCAGCACCAGTTGCACCAGCGGCAGCAGTAGCGGTGAGGCTAGAGAAAGCCATTGCATCATGGCTGAAACTGTAGATGGGGTATGCCTGTGAAGCACCATCACCACCAGCACCAGCAGCAGCACCACCACCAACACCACCGCCACCAGCACCACCAGCAGCACCAGCAGCACCAACACCACCGCCACCAGCACCACCAGCAGCACCACCAGCGCCAGCAGCAGCAGCAGCAGCAGTACGGGGGAGCCATGCAGCAGAACCAGCAGCAGCACGAGCAGCACCAGCAGCAGCAACAGCATCAGAGGAGGGAGCAGCCATGAGAGTCGAAAAGCCCTTGGCATCGTGGCTGAAACTGAACCGTGGGTGCATACGTGACGCGCCAGCACCACCTGTGCTAGCCGCACCAGCAAGAGCAGAGGTAGCTGGGCTGGAAAAGTCAATCCCATCGTGGCTGAAACTGATTAGTGGGTGCATACGTGAAGCACCAGGACTACCTGTCCTAGCCGCACCAGTAGGAGCAGACGCAGCTGGGCTGGAGATCTTTATATTATCGTTGCTGAAACTGCGCCATGGGTGCATACGTGAGGCACCAGCAGCACCAGCACCAGCAGCATGAGCAGCAGGGTCAACTGGTGACTGGAAACGGGTCCCAGGGAGGTTTTGCTGCATCCCAAACGACTCTGCTGCAGTCAGCAGCTGGGCTGCAGTCAGTGATTGTGCTGCACTCAGCAACTGTGCTGCATGCACTGATGGGGCTGCGTGTTGTGAGAGAACCCCGGGTGGATCCGCCTGTGCGACTGGGGACTGTGGCGGAACAGTTGTCTGGTGAACCGTCTCTGCGTCTCGGTCTGCGGGCAGTGAGAGGGAGACAAGGAGAGAGAGTGCAAGGTTTTTGAGTCGACTCAAGATGAGGGGAGACAGGGAGAGAGAGAGAGAGAGAGTGCAAGAAAGGGGTGGTGAGAGAACTCAAGGTGGGTCCGCCTGTGCGCCTGAAAACAGTGGGGCCAGGGTTTCCTGCTGAGCGGGTTTTTGCCTCGCGGTCTGCTGGCCATGTGAGGGGACGCAAGGAGAGAGAGTGCAAGTAAGGCAAGGAGATAGAGAGCAAGGGAGATGTGGTGAGAGCGCCCCAGGTGAATCCGCCTGTGTGGCTAGAGCCTGGTGGCACGGTTGCCTGCTGATGGGTCTCTGCCTCTCGGTCTGTGGGCCATGTGAGGGGAAACACGGAGAGAGAGTTTCAAGGCTTTTGAGTCGACTCAAAATGAGGGCAGACAAGGAGAGAGTGTGAGCAAGGGAACGGTGGTGAGAGCGCCCCAGGTGGATCCGCCTGCGTGGCTAGAGCCTGTGGTGGTACGGTTGTCTGGTGAATGGTCTCTGCCCCTTGGTCTGCCGGCCGCGTGAGGGGTCTCTGCCTCTCATTCTGCGGGGAAATGTGAGGGGAGACAAGGCGAGAGAGTGTGCAAGGGAAAGGTGGAGAGGTGTCACATTGCACAGCAACGGATTACAATACCATGCACATGCGAAAGGGATGCATGCACCCACATAAGGGAGCGGTGGGCAAACTCCTTCTCACGAGTCTAAAAAACTCTCAAATGGCACAAGGATTTTGGGTTTAGGGTTCTTGGTCTGGATTTCTCACCTCGTCTGTGGGCGTTCATGTGTCCTCCCAGCCCCTGCGGCTGTGCGAATCGCTTGCCGCAGAACCGGCACGCATACAGCAGCACCTCTTCACACCCCGTCAAACTCCTCCCCAGTTCCAGCACCATCCAAGACACAGAAGAGGACCTTGTTGCTGCTGATGCTGCCGACGCTGTTGGTTGACGTCCCTCCTGCTGCTGCTGCTGCTGCTGCTGCTGCTGCTGCTGCTGCTGCTGCTGCTGCTGCTGCTGCTGCTGCTGCTGCTGCTGCTGCCGCTGTTGGTGGTGGTGGTGGTGGTGCTGCTGCTGCTGCTGCTGCTGCTGCTGCTGCTGCTGCTGCTGCTGCTGCTGCTGCTGCTGCTGCTGCTGTTGCTGCTGCCACTCCCCCTCTTCCCTCTGCTGCAGCTGCGGCGGATCCAGCTCCCTATGGCGCTTCTGATGCTGCGACACTGCAGTTTTCTCGTCTGCTGAAAATTGCATTCCTGTTCTCACTGCGGTTCCAAGAGATGTAACAGCAGCGGCGGCAGCAGCAGCAGTGGTGGCGGTGGCTTTTGACACAGCAGCAGCAGCAGCAGCACTGGCAGTGGGACTGTGGCCTGAAGCTCCAGTGACAGTGCCAGACATAGAAGCAGCAAGAGAAGAGGTAGAAGCTGCAGAAGCAGAAGAGGAAGAAGAATCAGGAGAAGCAGAAGGAACAGAGCGAGAGGCAAAAGGGGAAAATCGAGCATAACCAGAAGCTCCAGAAGTAGCAGCAGCAGCAGTAGCAGCAGCAGCAGCAGAAGCAGTAGCAGAGGTAGCAGATAATTTCTCCTCGTACGGGTGATGCCTCTGCTGCTTCCTCCTCATCCTCACAGGGGAGACTGCAGGTGCTCTAAAACCCCCTACTGTCACACTCTCTGCCGCCAAATCTCCAACTGTCACATTATCTGCTGCCGTATCTCCTGCCTCCATATCCGTTGTTGTCCCATGCCCTACCATCACACCCTCTCCAGCAGCCGCCGCTGCAGTGTGAACTGCAGTCTCTGATCCTGCTGCTGCTCCAACCAGCTGCATGGCAAGCATTGCCCCTGTCACTGCCCCTTCCGATTTGCCAGGAATTGCAGCAACTGAAAAAGGGCTTTTCAGATTGCCAGTGCTGCTCGCCCTTCTGGTTCTTCTGGGGTAGGTATAGTGGCTGGTATGGCTGCTGGCACCGGTTCCTGGCGTGCTCCCTGCTTCTGCCACTTGTTGCCTTCCTTGCTCTGACACACCTGCTGCTGCTGATGCTCCTCCGCCTCCTGCTGCTGCTCCTGCTCCCTCTGCTGCTGCTTCTGGCCTTCCTCCTTCCAATCTCGAAGCAGTGGGAGCAGCAGCAGAGGGAGCAGCAGCAGGAGGAGCAGCAGCAGAGGTAGCAGCAGCAGAGGGAGCAGCAGCAGCGGGAGAAGCAGCAGCAGAAGAATCTGCGGGTCCCGTTTTCCAGCTGGGCGGAATCGCCCATGCATCAACCATGCGAGGAATCTGACTAAAATGGACGGTGTTCAGGGGATAAGTGGGGCCGACTGCTCTTAAGGGCTGAGGGATAGGACCAGGTGGTGAGGGATTGGGAGGAGTGGAGTATGGGACGGCTGTATGTTGCTGCAGAGAAGCAGCAGGCGGAGGAGCAGCAGTAGCAGATCTATGCTGCAGAGTCGTGAGCTCGTGAAGGTGATGTGATGGGCCTGGGGTTGTCCCAGCAGCACCACCAGCAGCGATAGCAGCCGGAGGAGGAGGAAGAGTCACAGCAGCAGCAGCAGTAGCAGCAGTAGCAGCAGTAGCAGCAGTAGCAGCAGTAGCAGCAGTAGCAGAAGTAGCAGAAGTAGCAGCAGCAGAGGCGGCGACGGCAGCAGGAGCAGCGGACCCACAATTTTCATTGTATGATTGTGAGAGGACGCGATGCATGCTGATCCATGAGGGATCCAGGGCAAAGCTCGTCTCCATGTCTCCACCCAGCAACGCTTGGTTCAGCATGGCTTGGTCCAGCAACGCTTGGTTCAGCAAGGCCTGGTTTAGCATGCCTTGATCCAGCATCCCTTGCTCCATGAATGCTTGATCCGCCAGTGCTTGATGCAGCAATGATTGGTCAATCAGCGACGCTGGATCCACCAATGACTGATTCAGGAATGATTGATCCAGCACACCTTGACTCACCAAGCCTTGATTCAACAAGCCTTGATCCAGCACGCCTCCGTCTAGCAATTCTTGGTCTAGGGACACCAATGCTGGGTCAACCAATGCTGGGTCAACCAATGCTGTGTCAACCAATGCAGGATCAACCAATGCAGGGTCGCCCAATGCTGTGTCAACCAATGCTGTGTCAACCAATGCTGTGTCAACCAATGCTGTGTCAACCAATGCCGGGCCAGACAACGCCTGATCATCCAATGCAGGGTCTAGGATCATCGCCTCCCCATCCCCCTGTGCCTCTCCCGCTTGAGACGCCATTGCTTGCTCCAGAGTCAAGCCTTGCTCGTCCATGTTCAGACCTTTGCCGGTCGACCTCCCGCTCCTCCTCACTGCATTGATAGACACTTGTGGAACATTCTCCAGTCAACAGCCGAATTCACCTCAGCTTGCAGATTCACAGGAAACGAATCCTCCCAAGGCTGATCCTTTCAGTAACAGCCGCTGAAACGTCTGGTTGAGGGTTGCTTGGTGACCGCTTGCTGGTGTCTGAGTCATCTGCTCCATGTCCGATGCATCAAACCTCCACTGTCAGAACGTCAGTGTCAGCTTTCCGCCGTCTCAGCTCTCTATCTTGAAAACAGGAGCCTCGGCACGTAAGGATCATGAGAGGGCCTCTTTTTGCTAGTAGAGACTGACTCTCTGAGAGTTAACTTATCTCAGTCGAGTTTGCACATTGGAACATCGCAGTTCAGACTGGAGCATCATCATCATGAGTTAGTCAGACACTCCGAGAGACGTCTTTTGAATAGAAGAACGAGGAAGTTTGTGTCACTGTGTGAAGAACTACCTCGACCACTTCCAACTGGTGAGAGCGTATGACTCGTTGATTCGGAATCCATGAGCTACAGCTGCCGCACTTCTAAATAGCTCATTGAAAACTATCAACCAGGTGGCCACTATCACTTATAGTAAAGTTCTGTCACAGGAAGTTTAGGAAAGAAAGGGAAGAAAGGAAAATAGAGATGGAAAACAAATAAACGAATTAAAAGAAAGAAAGAAAGAAACAAAACCATCGGAGTTGGTTTCACCGCAGATGCCAGTACTCCAGGTTTCTGCAAGCTTGACTCCATCTTGTCTGGCAGAACTCTTTGGATAGGTTTTCTGGAGCTGTTCTTAACGGCAATGATTAAGTGCTTCTGTAACCCGAAAGAGCCAGCGGCTCCTAGCCTGTCGTTCGCTCAGAGGGTGACAGGTGCATGAATTTGCAGCTGGCGTTGTGAAAAGAGCTCGTCCGGCGTGCCAAACGTTCTCTCGAGTTGTACACGTACAAACAAGATACTCTTGTTCGAGATAGGACAGCTTCGAAATCTCGAAAGTCAGAACTCATCACAGGTCTAGTAGCTATTCATAAGATTGCTGTTTTTGTCAAAACAGCGTGTCGTATCGTAACCCTAGAGAAATTTTTGAGCATCCGTGGTGGTGTGGGATCTGCGTCGGCTGCCTTTGGCTCCTTCCATTGTTCGGCTGGAAGGTTGCTCCTGCGACGCACAACACTGAACCAATACACGTCGTCTCCTTTCATTTTCACATCGTCTCCTTGCACGACTATCGTGTCCAGGCCCTTCGTGGCTCACGGTTACCGTTTTGTACCGCGACGCAATGACTTAGACCGAAGAAGATACTATTCTGTAGCTCATACTAGAACGCAACATCCCGTTTACACACTGCAAACGTGCAACGCACAACGATGTCCGTACACTAGGCAAGGCACCCTCTTTGAGAAATTTCCACTGGAGCCACTAGACCAGACCAGGTTACACCAGACCACTAGACTGCACTGGCAGCTATTCCAGCTGTCGGAGTTCGAATATAAAATCTGAACACAGTGAGCACATCAACAAAAGAACCGCGTTTGCGGGAACAAGCAAACAGACAGCTAAGAAACACGGCTTTACACAGTTCAGGTCTCGAAATAAGATCCTCTTGGGAGGGTTGCGAAGATTTCAATATCGGGGTCTCACAATGTGGACCATTGTTTCGTTTCAAACCCACTTCCATTTTAGAAAGAGCCCACCCCACCCCACCCACCTGCTCTTCCCAGCTGTTCCACACCTGCCCTGCACAAGCTCACACATCACCTTGGTGTTTGATTCAAAATTACTTCCGCCGCTGGGGGTACGCTGGTGTTTCCCAGACCCCGAGAACCGCAGAGCTGCTACTGCTTCTGCCCCTTCTGGTTGCTACTGTACACAACAGGGTGGTGGAATGCCATGCCACGGATTGGGAGGAATGGTGTGGGTGGAGTTGAGCGGAGGGTCGAGTCGAGTCGAGTCGAAGGATGAGATCAACAGTTGTTCCCTGGGCCCACTGGATGCACTCATTCAATGGGCTTGGGGAACAAAGAGTACTGTTTTGATTGAATCCGATATTGTACAGTACAATACTCAGAATATCTGGTCCCAGTGCTGCCAGTAGGTCCAGCCAGGCAAGATAACTATTCTGTGTAATTTTATCGTACAGAGCTTATATTACAGATTTAATAGAAATGATTTTATCCATCAAAACCTTCATTCTCATTTTTTAGCTCTGTTATATAGTAGCTCATTTTCTTCCAGCCCCATAATGGGTGTTGATTTCCTGTATTCATGAGTATGCATGTGCATGTACCGTATATCCTTTTAGATGCATATCTGTATGTCCTCTGAATTTGAGTGCTTACATGACATACATGATGGATGTGTACATTGAAATGAGTGCCTTGAGAACATCCCCGATATTGCAGAGCTCACGCCCATAACTTCCTCCCTCCTGCCAAAGCGACTTGTTCCAGTCCTCCCTTTTCCTGTCACCGTTTTTTTTCGTTTCCGCAATATGGCTGTATTGTCTGAAATCGAAGAGCCGCCGCAGCCGGCGCAGCCTCCGTCGGAAGGGCCAAGTGCGGGCGAGAGTAGCTCTCGAGCACGCGAAGCTGGCGAATGTGGTAACGGTTTGGACGAGTTTCCGTACGACGGCTCGCTGCTGTCGCTGCTCAGGCAGCACGACGATCGACCGTTGGATCTGTTCCAAACGGTCGTTGGATTCTTGCGGCGAAAGTCAGATTTCTTCGCAGACGCGGTGCGCTTGTCGTGTGATCATGGCAGTTATGTTAGCGCGTTTACTCTGGTGCTAAATCTCTTACGACCAATCGTTGCTGATCCTGTAACTTCTCCGTTGACGGCGGTTTAAGTAGGATTTCTTGGGCTTCTCATCCTACTTAAACCGCTCGAACCTCCCCAAACATTGTCCCATCTTTTACGCGCCCAATAAATCCTCCTCCCGTTTCCATCTTTGATTTCATTTTCGCTCCTTTCTCTCCCACTTCCTTCGGGAACAGCGGTCGGAGACTGATGGGGAAGTTGATCCACTCGGCGCCGCATACAGTGCGAGAGGGAGCGGCGAGACCAACAGCGCAGAGAGCAGGAGAAGCTTTCAGACATCTCAAAACTCTTTCTTTCCATGTCCCACTCCCTGCCAATCCACTCCCTGCCGAAGCAGCGGTCAGAGACTGAAGCGGGGAAGCTGATCCACTCGGCGCGAGTTCAGTTCGAGAGGGAGAGGCGAGACCGCGAGCAGCGGAGGGAGCAGGAGAAGGCGGAAACGGAGAGACTAGAAAAGGAACGAGACAAGGCGAGAATAGAAACGGAGAGGGAGGAGCAGGAGAGGAGAGAGAGGCAGGAGGCGGCAGGGAAGGGGAAGGAGAAGGTAGCGGCTGGGAGTGGTGCGGAGGGGAAGGACGGTGCGTCTGAGATGGAGATAAGCGAAGGGGAAGCGAAGGAGATGGAGGAGGATGGAGAGGAGCCGGTGGCGAGCGGGAAACTGAGTTAGTGCTGCTGCTGCGAATGATTGTTATTGTCTTAGCACTGATTTGCTGCTGCAAGGCGACTTCTGAGTCGACTTAGAGTCAACTGAAGGGGAGGGAGGGAGATGGAGGAGGACGGAGAGGAGCTGGTGGCGAACGGGAAACTGAGTGAATGCTGCTGCGAATGAATATTACTGTTTAGCACTGAACCGTCAAAACCTTGAATAGCGGTCAAAATTCTGAACGGCAGACAAAACCCTAAACCGCGGTCAAGACCCTGAACCCTGAAAGACCATCGAACCGGCCCTTCCTCACTCGTGCCCAACTGCATGCCCGTGTGGACCATCCTCGGGCAACGGGTCGGACCCTGAGATACTCCTCCGCTCAGAATCTGTCCCATCCCATGCATGCCTCCCTTCCCCTCTTTTGAAGCGCCTCAAAAGCCAACTGCATGCCCGTGCGGGCACCATCCTCGGGCAACGGGTCGGACCCGTTGAGTGCAAGGGACCCGGAGTATACTCCTTCACACAGAATCTGTCCCTTGCATTCCTCCCCTCCCCTCTCCCTCTCCCCCGCCATCCCTCTTCCTTTTCCCCTTTCCCCTCCCTCGTCCCCTTCCGTTCAACCCCCTCTTTCCCTTTCTATCCAGAGCCATCCCTGGGCAACGGAGCGGATCTGGGGCGATACTCCTTCACACAGACTCTTGGCGAACTAAATTTGGCAATTCCCCTTCCTGCCGGCACCAAGGCGCGGGGAGTGACAGTGGAGATCAAGAAAACAAAGCTGGTGGCTGGGTTGAAGGGGCAGGCGCCGGTGCTGGAGGTGAGGTTTCGAGGATGAGTTAAGGGGAATGCGAACCCGAGGGGTGAACTGAGTCTGGCGATTGTCCTTGCCTTCTGTCACCAACCAAGGCACGGGGAGTGGCAATGGAGATCAAGAAGACGAGACTGGTCACTGGGTTGAAGGGGCAGGCGCCGGTGCTGGAGGTGAGGTTTCGAGGATGAGTAAAGGGGAATGCGAACCCGAGGGATGAGCTGAGTATGGCGATTGCCCTTTCCTTCTGTCACCAACCAAGGCACGGGGAGTGGCAGTGGAGATCAAGAAGACGAGACTGGTCACTGGGTTGAAGGGGCAGGCGCCGGTGCTAGAGGTGAGGTTTCGAGGATGATATGAGGGGAATGCACTGCACTGCTTGTTCTAGAGTTGAGCTGTGGGCTGAGTGTGGCGATACCCCTGCCTGCGGGGCTGAGTGTGGCGATACCCCTGCCTGCGGGGCTGAGTGTGGCGATCGATACCCCTGCCTGCGGGCAACAAGGCACAAAGGGTTGCAGTGGAAATCAAGAGAGTGAAACTGGTGGCTGGGTTGAAGGGGCAGGCGCCGGTGCTAGAGGTGAGACTTCGAGTACAGGCACCCTCAAGAAAGGAGGCGCCTGTACTTGAGAGTCAGCTCCTCCCTCCCTCCTCCATCACTCCCCCCCCACTCCCTCACCCCCCCTCCTTCCTCACTCCCCCTCTTCCCTCCCTCCCCCCCCGTCCCTCATTCCCCCTCCTCCCTCACTCCCCATCCTACCTCACTCACCCTCTTGCCTCACTTCCCCTCCTCCCACACTCCTCCTCCTCCCTCACCCCCCCTCCTCCCTCCCTCCTCCCCCATCCTGTTTGTTTCCCAGGGCGGCCTCTGGGCGCCTGTGAAAGCTTTTGAGGCGCCTCAAAAGCGGCCTCTGGGCGCCTGTGAAAGTAGACGACTGTTACACCCAGCTTTTCAAACTAAAAAACTCTATTAATATATGAGTCTAGAGACGTCTAAAAAACCCTTTCTCTATTCCGTTCCCCCCCCCCCCCCCCTCCCTCCCCCCCTGTTCGTTTCCCAGGGCGACCTCTGGGCGCCTGTGAAGGTAGACGACTGCATTTGGAGCATTGGTAAGATACGTTGTCTCATCTCATTTTAGTTCTCATTTTACTTCTCTTTTCATGAGGCGCCTATCAGCGGATGGCTGCACTTGGAGCATTTTTAGCTCCTTTCTCGTCACCGAACCTCCTCCCCCCTTGCTCCTTATCTGCCTCGTTCCGTCCGCGTCTCGCTGTCCCTCCGTCTCCGTCTCTCCCTCCCCTTCTGTTAGATAAGGTCTTGGTTGCTTGAGTCTGTAGGGAGTATAGTGGACGTTTACCCTAGTTAGGGTTACACCGCTTTACCCTTCCTCCTCCCAGCTTTGGTCCCCTTCTTTCCTCTCCTCTCTTCTTTTCCGTCCTCCCTCCCCCTCTCACCTCCAGAGAACAACCCGGGGGGCGGTCGCACCCTCTCCATCCTCCTCTCCTCACCAAGATCAACCGCACGGAGTGGTGGAGTGGTGGACTGCGGTGGTGTGCGGTTCGGCATGTTTGCTCCCTCTTTCCCCCCGGCCCCACCTTCCCCTCCCTCCTCCCTCGCTCCTACCCCCTTGACCTCCAGAGGACAACCCGGGGGGCGGTCGCACCCTCTCCATCCTCCTCACCAAGATCAACCACATGGAGTGGTGGAGTGCGGTGGTGAGGGGCGAGCCGGAGATCGACACTCAGAAGGTGGAGCCGGAAAACAGCAAGCTGGGGGACCTAGATGCTGAAACGAGGCAGACTGTAGAGAAGATGATGGTGAGAGAAGGAAGGAGAGGAGGAAAGGGGGGAAAGGGGGCAAGGGGGGCGGTTGATAGTGCTGTTGAGCACATGTGTGTGTGAGAGAGAAGGTGGAGCCGGAAAACAGCAATGGGGGCGGTTGTTAGTGCATTGGGGAGTTAGTGCATTGGGGAGTTAGTGCATTGGGCAAACTCGATGGGGCTACCAACGAGTGAGGAGCATTCCGACCTTCCAAGTAACTTCTCAATCGCTCCTGTTGCTCACTCCTCTTCCTTCCCCCTCCCCCCCCCTCCCCCCCCCCCCTTCCCCCGGCTCCCCCTTCCCTCCTTCACTCCCCCCTGTCCGCCTGCAGTACGACCAGCGGCAGAAGCAGATGGGGCTACCAACGAGTGAGGAGCAGCAGAAGCAGGACATTCTAAAGAAGTTCATGGCTCAGGTGGGGGGGGGGTTCCTGGGCTCATGTGATGGTTTCTGGCTGATGTGAGTGGTCTCCGGGCTCAGGTGGGTTCCCGGGTGGGCACATTTTAGCCTCAGGTGGGTGCTTCCTGTGTTCAAGTTTTCGAAGGAGCGTGCGTTCCAGAGGAGATGTCAGCGTTTGGATCTTTCAACATGGTCTTGTCGTTCCGCCCGTTCCTTCCCTCACTTGCCTTTCCACTGTGTCATCCTAATTTTCTCACTCCCTTTTTCTCAACCCCTATCTCACGCTCTCTCACCCTCTCACTCACCATCTCTCTCACCATCTCTCTCACCCTCGCTCTCACCCCCCTCCCGTTTGCAGCACCCGGAGATGGATTTTTCCAACGCCAAGTTCTCCATGTGAGCAACGAAGCAACCGGGAGTTTTGAGGCGCTTAGAATGTCGCCTCAAAACCCTCCTCCCTGTGCAGCACCCGGAAATTGTTTTTTTTTCAATGCCTAGTTCTCCATGTGTGCGATGAACGCTCAAGAAAGTAGCTGTTGCAGTCAGCCTGGAGCAGGGTGACTGCAATCAGCCTAGGAGGCCTAGGAGGGTCGGTTGTGTTACCGGTAGGTCTGGAAAGGGCTAGGAGGAGGAATAGGCTGAGCGGAGGGCATTCGAGTTAGGAGAATGCATTCTGCATGAACCAGTGTGTTGAGAAAGCTTAGGAAGGAAGGGTTGTGTGGAGCCTGGAAGGGAGTTCAAGACATAATGGCTCATCCTGAGCAGAGCTTTTTATCTGATGCTTCATGATTGCACTACATAAGGTTTAAGGTGGTGTGCGGTGCATGCGTGGAGCTACAACGGCTTTTTTAATGCGAAGGAAAAGGAGATCGGTGTGTCATTCCCAGCCTGTTGGTCAACGCAGCGATCATCACCCCCGCAAAGGCACAAAGCACAGTTTTACTGCCCACATTTGAGAGTTGAATTGAATACGGTACCTACCTACATTTCACAGCGAGCTAGAGATAATGAAATGTCACTGTACACATGCTATTCCTCTTCCGAGTCTGAGTTCGCACTGACAGCAGCAGGCAGCAAATTCAGAAAGGGGAGCACGAGCAGAGAGGAGAAGTTGCAGATGGCGATGAGGGTGGGCAGGTTGGTGAAGTTGGTGCTCGTCACTCCCAGCCAGTTGGTCAGCCCCGCTCCCATCATCCCCCCAAACAGACAAAGCACAGTTTCACTCCCCTCCCCACTTTTGTAATTAAACCTTTATTGTTTAACAATTAGCTACAGTACATGACATGCTACTGTACAGCTGCTATTCCTCTTCCGAGTCTGAGTTTGTGCTGACGGTAGCCGGAAGTAGGTTCAGAAAAGGGAGCACGAGCAGGGAGGAGAAGTTGCAGATGGCGATGAGGGTGGGCAGGTTGGTGAAGTTGGTGCTCGTCACTCCCAGCCAGTTGGTCAGCCCCGCTCCCATCACCCCCCCAAAGACGCTCGCGCCGTTGCTGACAGACATGAGCGTAGCGAAGAGCGTTGCTTCTATGCCGGGTGGGCAAACTCGAGCAGCCAGCACCAGCACAGGCATGAAGGATATCTGTCCCGGGGGTGGGGGAATGGAGGGAGGGGGGTTGTTCAACGTGTGTGTGGCGAAGAGCATTGCTTCTATGCCCGGGCGGGCAAACTCGAGCAGCCAGCACCAGCACTGGCATGAAGGAGATCTGGAGGGGGGTGGGGGTGACAGGAAAAGGGATTTGGGGAAGGAAGGGAAGGGGCTGTCAGCCCAGCGCCCATCACCCCCCCTAAGACGCTCGCGCCGTTGCTGACAGACATGAGTGTGGCGAAGAGAGTCGCTTCTATGCCGGGTGGACAGACCCTTTCTGCTAGCCCCAACACTGGCATGAAGGGGATCTGAGTGGCAGTGAGAATAACCTGCCCCGAGTCTCACCTGTCCCAGCTCTCACCTGTCCCAGCTCTCACCTGCCCCAGCTCTCACCTGCCCCAGCTCTCACCTGCCCCAGCTCTCACCTGCCCCAGCATGGTGAATATGAGGGAGACCTCCGGCAGGAAGTACTGATCGCTGATTCCCAGAGAGCGTTATGAGAGAACAGTCACCGCAGCTCTCACCTGCCCCAGGTCCCACCTGCTGTCTCACCTGCCCCAGGTCCTACCTGCTGTCTCACCTGCCCCAGGTCCCACCTGCTGTCTCACCTGCCCCAGGTCCCACTTGCAGTCTCACCTGACCCAGCACGGTGAGTATGAGGGAGTCCCCCAGCAGAAAGTACTGATCGCTGATTCCCAGAGAGCGGTTCAGACCGGTGACAAGGAGTAGCTGAGACGAGAGGGGCATACATGGGGAAGGGGGGAGAGGAATGAGAAGGAGGGGGGGAGAAATGAGGGGGCATATGTTGGGCGGCTAGAGTGAAAGGGGTCATTGTGAGGCCCTCGCTCGCCACCATGAGACGGCATGTACCATTTCAGGTAGAAGCCAGAGGAAACTCTGGCGGAGGCCGCCAGAAGTTGAACAGCCCCACCCTTGCCAGGGAGGCAAGCGCTGGTTGTTACCGTGTCTAAGGTACCCCAATGGATGAACCTGGGAGAATTGCTCTCTTTGCCTCACCTGCGTTGAGCCCAGAGGAACAGCTTCCTGAGAGGCACTTCCTTCAGATAGAAGTTGAACACACCGACCGCTGCCCTGCCAGGGAGGTGAATGATCCGTCACCTTATTGCTGCGTTTTATAAGCCAACCCACGAACGTACCTGCGTTGAGCCCAGGAGTGCCCCAGCCACGTTGGTCCAGAGGAACAGCTTTCTGAGAGGCACCTCTTTGAGGCAGAAGTTGAACACACCCACCCCCGCCAGTGATGCAAGGGCGGTCACGAGGCGCACGCGGCCCAGGAACTCAGGACCAAAGCCCAGCTCGTTGGTGCTGTGGGGGGATAGGGGGGGGTGGGGCAGAGTGTGGAAGATTATGGGTGCTGAGAAAGGCTTGAGGCGTGTCTAAACATCAGGCAGCGAGGCCAGGGCTGTCACGAGGCGGACGCGGCCCAGGAACTCAGGGCCGAAGCCCAGCTCGTTGGTGCTGGGATGGTAAGTGGGTAATGGGAAGGAACGGGAAGGGAAGGTGTTGGCGAGTTTGGGCTACCAGAGCGGCTTGAGGTGTGTTGGATTGGAACACCTCAACACACCTTCCAACACACCTCCATGGAGGCAAAAGAGCTCCTACGACGCGGCCGGGATTTTTTTTGAATTCTAAAAAAAAAAACCCTGCAACGGCAAGGTGTGTTGGAACACCTCAACACACCTCCATGGAGGCAAAAGGGCTCCTACGACACGTCCCAGAAACTCAGGACCGAATCCCAGCTCGTTGATACTGCGGGAAAACAGGGGAAGGAGGGGTGGAAGAAGTGGGGTGAAGTGTATGCTCAATTGGGTGGTGCTCAGGCGCCTCAAAACACCTGCCCACCCCCACCCGTACCCCATGCCTGTACACATGTTGACCCCTGTTGACCTCCATTGACCTGCATTGACCCGTGTTGACTCACGCGAAGAAGAACAGGCGGTCTCAGAGTGGGGAGTGGCCTGCCAGAGGAAGATGAAGACAGAACCTCATGCCTGTACCCCTGTGGATCCCGTTGACCCCTGTTGACCCCTGTTGACCCCTGTTGACCCCTGTTGACCCACACTGACTCACGTTAAGAAGTACAGGCGGTCTCAGAGTGGAGAGTGGCCTGCCAGAGGAAGCTGAAGGCTGACACAATGCCCATCACCACATGTACCCATGCCTGTACACATGTTGACCCCCATTGACTCCCCATTGACCCTTGTTGACTTCCATTGACTCACGTGAAGAAGAACATGGCAGTCTCTGAGTGCGGGGTGGCCTGCCAGAGGAAGATGAAGGCGGTGGGCAGCAGAATACCCATGCCCACACCCACCCACGCCCATGCCCATGCCCATGCCCATACCCATACCCATACCCATACCCATACCCATACAGGCCATACCCACAGCAAGCACTCAACTGAAGAAGAACATGGCAGTCTTGGAGTGGGGCGTGGCCTGCCAGAGGAAGATGAAGGCAGAACCGCATGCCTACCCATGCCTGCACCCCTGTTGACCCGCATTGACTTGCATTGAATACCATTGACTCACGTGAAGAAGAACATGGCGGTTTCAGAGTGCGGGGTGGCCTGCCAGAGGAAGATGAAGGCGGTGGGCAGCAGAATACCCATGCCCACACCCACCCACGCCCATGCCCATGCCCATACCATACAGGCCATACCCACAGCACGCCCGTACCCACCCATACCCGTTACCCACAGGAAGCACTCACGTAAAGAAGAACATGGCGGTTTCAGAGTGCGGAGTGGCCTGCCAGAGGAAGATGAAGGCGGTGGGCAGCAGAATGGCCGGCTGGCGAATGGTCTCCCACAGAAACACCACCTGCCCCCACGCCCACGCCCACGTCTCCCTTGCTCCGCTCCCTGCTGCCACCACTCCTCCTGCTCCTCCCAATGCTCCTCCTTCCCATACTCCTTCCCTATCTCTGTCTCCTCCTATGTCTCCTCCTCTGTCTCCTTGGCCTTCTCCTATTCTTCCTAGCTCTGCCCCCGTCCCGCCTGCTGCTGTGCCAGTGGTTGTACTATCCTTATCGGTGGTAACCCTAGTGTTTGTGGTAACCCTCTCTTCAGGGATGTAGAATCCGACAGCAGTGGTGATGAGGGGCAGTAGGGCTGTCACTCCGAACACAAACCTGGGAGGAGCACACAGGGGTGAAGTACGGTTGAGAACGGTGTGGAAGGAGGGTAGACGATGAAGGGAAGCAGGGAAGTTGTGGCATTTGAAGGAGAAGGAGAAGGGGAAAATGCAGCAGAAATGAAGGAAACGTCAGCAGAGGAGGGATGAGACTGGAGGGGATGAATGATGCATAAAACAGATGAGGACAAAGGCAGGGAGCCACACTGAAATATAAGACTCGTTCTCTATCAGCGAGCCGCTGAAATACGCAGAGAGCACAGCACAGCCCCCACTGCTGACGACCCCCAACACAGCTCGACTCGACTGCAATCCCCTGATGTGATGCCGTTCCTTGTGTGCTCAGCCCCATACACCAACCCTCCCTCACCTTGTGCCGTAGTTCTCTATAAGGGAGCCGCTGAAATACGCTGAGAGCACAGCTCCTACTGCTGACGACCCCCAACACAGTGATTGCAACCCTCCTGATGTAGCCTGGGACTCGCCCCTCGCCCTCTGCACCACCATTGAGTCCACCACCTGGGGACGCGGGTGGTGGGGTGGGGTGTAAAGAGCATGGGAGGGAAAGAGAATGGTGCATATAAAGGGCAAAGCCCTGATGTGGCCTGGGACTCGCCCCTCGCCCTCTGCACCACCATTGAGTCCACCACCCGGGGACAGTGCGGGGTGGGGCGGTTGGGGGGGGAAGAGCTGGGTTGGTGGGGGCATGGTCTCTGCACCACCATTGAGTCAACCACCTGGGGAACATTGAAGAAGGGGCGCGCGGTGGAAAAACACAGAGTGACAAGGGAGGAAAGAGAAGGGTGGATAGGGCGGATTAGCCCTGCCTGATGTGGCCTGGGACTCGCCCCTCGCCCTCTGCACCACCATTGAGTCTATCACCTGGGGACAGTGGATGAGAAAGAGCAAAGGAAAGAGGAAGGGACGGAGAGGCGCGGAATCTTGAATAGGGGAGGCCTGATGTGGCTTGGGACTCGCCCCTCGCCCTCTGCACCGCCATCGAGTCTACCACCTGGGGATAGAGGGGGGAGAGACAGCAGCGGAGAGCGAGGAGAGCAGGATCATGGCCACAGCGGAGTACTTATCCCCCACCACTGATGCCAGACCTCCCCACGCCACCGACCCCAGCAGCAGCCCACACGCCACCAGGTAGGAGCGACGGGGGTAGCAGTACCACACCGCATAACACCACACAGCACCACTCACCACATCCGACACTGCAGCAGAGAGCGAGGAGAGCAGGATCATGGCGACAGCGGAGTACTTATCCCCCACCACCGATGCCAGCGCACCCCACGTTAGCGACCCCAGCAGCAGCCCACACGCCACGAGGTAGGAGCGACGCCGGTAGCAGTACCACAGTACCATACCACATAGCACCACATAGCACCGCATAGCACCACTCACCACGTCAGAGACGGCAGCAGAGAGCGAGGAGAGCAGGATCATGGCGACAGCGGAGTACTTATCCCCCACCACCGATGCCAGCGCACCCCACGCCACAGACCCCAGCAGCCCGCATGCCACGAGGTAGGAGCGCCGGCGGTAGCCAAAGAGAGGAATGCCGTCGCTGATGAAGCCGTAGATGGGTTTGATGAGCCACGGGAGAGAGGAGAGACCTGACAGCACCGCTACCTGAGGGGAGATTATGGGGAAGGCACAGGAGTTGGGGGTGATTAACAGAGCAAGAGACCCCAACAGCCCACAGGCGACGAGGTAGGAGCGCCGGCGGTAGCCAAAGAGAGGGATGCCGTCGCTCATGAATCCGTAGATGGGTTTGATGAGCCACGGGAGGGAGGAGAGACCTGATAGCACCGCCACCTGGAGGGAGGGGTTGTTTGAGAAGTACAGGAATAAGGGAGGGTTGCATGATTGTTAGGCGGCTTCATGCTGACTTTTGAGTCGACTCAAAAGTCGATTGTTAGGCGGCTTCATGAAACAAAGGATGGACGAGAGGAGAGGACTGATTGGACTGCCCAGTGAAGGATGGAGAGAGGGGAAAGGGGGGGGAGGGGGAGGGGGGGAAGAGACGGTTAGTGTGCAGCAGCACAGTGCTCGCATGTAAATGCCATGCCATGCTCTGCACACTTGTATGAATCGCAGCAACTTTTCCCACTTACCTCAGCAGGGTCGAGCCCAAAGTCGTCTTTGAGCAAGCAAGTAACAGCGAGGCGAGCCAGCCCCAGCACGCCCTGCACGAAGAACACTCTGACAATTGCCACCACCTCCGGAGAAGACAACCCCCTCGGCCCCTCCGGAGAAGACAACCCCCTCGGCCAGCAGGCACATGCAGAGAGACACACGCACCTCAGCAGGGTCGAGCCCAAAGTCGTCTTTGAGCAGAAACGTGACGGCAAGGCGGGCCAGCCCCAGCACGCCCTGCACGAAATACACACTCGCCATCGCCAACACCTCTGGCGAGACAGAGCTTGATCAGCAGAGACACACTCACCTCGGCAGGATCAAGCCCGAAGTCGTCTTTAAGGAGAAACGTCACAGCAAGGCGGGCCAAGCCCAGCACGCCCTGCACGAAGTACACACTCGCGATCGCCACCACCTCGGGGGAAACCGTACTAGCCCTCTCCGCCACCCACGCAGGCACAGCCGCGGAGAGAGCGCGGAGAGACTGCTGGGGGGGAGCGGAGAGCCCTCCCCCCGGTGTATGTTGAGTGCTTGGTTGTGCATGTTCCGCTGCTGTCTGTGAGTCCGCTCCGTGTGAATGAATATCACGTTCTGCTTCCCCGTTCTCCGGCTGTGAAGCATCTGCTGAAGCCTCCTGCTGCGGCTGCTCCGACTCGTGCTCGTGCTGGTGCTGGTGTTTGTGCTTGTGCTTGCGTGGTGGTACGTCAGGGAACGCTTCTGCACGTGGGAGAGGAGAGGAGAGGGGGGAAAGAGGTGGGGGATGCAGGGAATGGAGGGGATGACATGAGGGACTGATATGCATTGCAGTGGGCTCCCTGGTACTTGAAATTCAGAAACGGGTTGATAGGTCGTGCCGTCTGTTCTGGATTTCTCCAAGCCAACGAAATGACTCCGCGAGTTGCGAAACCCGGTTACCTCATAACCACACCTCGGATGTCGTCGCCTTCGATGACCGACTTCGCGCGGCAGCTGAATTTTCTCCTCCGCGACTGTTGATTCGGGAAACCCCGGCAGCCGAACTCCACGGTCCGCGACTGCCGAGTGAGGAAACCGCGGTGAGACGAATTCCGGTAAGATTGAGACTGATAAGGATGAGGAAAGGAGGCGACTGATTGCCGAGCCGTAAAGAAACTACTCAGTGCTAAACTACCGCAGGATGAACGGCCTGCTGCCACGAGCTCAGCCATGTCTCCGGACCGGAATACACTCCGCTGTAGCGAAGTCCAGCGGACGCGGTGGGTATTAGCTCAAGGGTACACGACTTATGGAATATCTGCCCGAACCGCAAGGAGATTTCTTTGAATTCGGCAGTGTCAGAGTTCTAATCTTAGGGTGAAACGAATGTCGAATGAATCATTAGCGCTGTTAGAATCTGACTAGACGAAAGCGGCGCTAGCTTTGTGCCTAGAAATGCCTGCCATTGAAATGGGGCGATGAGTGCTTCCAACCTCAGGAAACGGAAAATAGCCAATGCAGAATGTCCAGAAACAATGTTTTGTTACGGCTAAGTGAGATTCTTCACGGTTTGGAGCTCCAACATAAATATCGAGAACGGTGAAATAGGGTCCTGAGCAATGATGAACCAGGCCCACTTCCAAGTAGGAACAACTGGCTGCCTCACTATTTGCCCCTTGATTGGTTACATTTGGCGGTCATGGACACGTGGCATCGTTTCGTTCTAGACGATGAATCTGGTTCTTCATGAAGGGGAAGGGAAATATCCTCGTTACACTACCACTGCGCGTTTTGTACAGCGTTTACTTGAGAAAACAAATTACTAGTTTCCAGTAAGTTCGTGGTGTTATATTGTTGCATGTTGCATGTTCGCGGTGTTATATTCAAGAGCAGTCAGACGCCTGTATCTCATGCACCAACGAAAGTGGCGGCATGGCGTCTGGTTCAGGAGTTCGGCGCATCGGACAGTCTCTCTTAGCAGTGTCTCCGTCCTTCATACGCTCTTCTTTCCATGAGTCTCAACGCGATCCTGGCCTTGTAATCTCTTTGATCCGAGCACACTCCGTGCAGCAGCACACGCATTCCTGTGGCCATGGCATCCCGAGTTCATTACTTACCCACAATGCGGTTCACCGCCCGTTTCCGTCAAGAACGCCACCTTTTCACCGCCAATACGATGGTCGGTCACTCGCCCTTGAAGGATCGTCCCGGTTCATCTGCGTTCCAGCGACCCGTCACGATCACCGGCAATTACAATCGATTATATCAGCAACCCAACCCCGACCAACGATCCACGGTCCAGATCTTTTATCCGCATCGCCAGCCGTCGTCCCCTCCCGCTCTCTCAATATATACACTGTTTTCCGGAAGGAATCGCGAGATAAGGAGATAGAACGCTTGAAGGACGAGTTGAACCGCGGATACTTCGACGATTTTAAGGAGCTCAAGGAAACTGCCGGGAAGCTGGGCCCTGCACCTACCTCGTCGCCGCTCCCAGCCGCTGGAGCCGCGGTGTTTCCGCAAATCACGGGAACAACGTCATCAAAGGCGTCAGTGGAGCTGCCTCTCGATCTGCAGGGTGACACGTGTCGCGTGGTTCTGGTCTGCGTGGCGTTCCGCGCAAACGCTCAGGTATTTATTCCTGATCCACTTGCCGCTAATCTTTAGGTGGAGACAGGCAGCAGTATCTCACACAGGCATGAAATCTCCCTGCCTACCCCGTGAAATAGCTGACAGTCTTCTCTTGTGGGAAGCTCCCCCTTGACTCTACTGATGTCACTGCAATCAAACTCTCGGACTTACTTGCTTCGAATCCAACTTTCTCCTTTCTGTTCCTTGCTGTTCAGGGCATGGTGGAGTCATGGCTGAAACCCTTCCTCCAGCACGCCTCCAGCAGCTCGTCTTCTGCCAATTCCTCACCTTCAACTCCTTCCCACACTTCCGCACCGGATTCCACCGCACCCGACTCCTCTGAACCCACGGATACCCTACCCCACCGCTTTCCACCGGGCTCTGTGCGCGCGGTGCACATCTCATGGATCGAGTCATGGCTGCTGTCGACACGACCCATTCGATCCTGGCTGCTCAGCAGCTTGCGTGGAGCTGAGGCCAAGCAGCAAGCACGCCTGGCAGATGCTGCCGATTTAGAGGGCGTCGATGGGGTGTTGACGAATGTGTATGCATTTGGTGACACGTGGGAGTTCAGAAAGAGACTGGGCATCGTCAACAGGCTCACAGGGTGAGTGCCCCTTTCCACCTACTCCGTCCGCAGAGGGGGTGAGTCTTCCTTTTTGCCTGATTCTACCGTATGTCGATTTCCAAACCAAGCCTTTTCAACTCCACCATAGTGCTGACTTGTTTCTTTTTCGCTCTGCTCTGTTGTCCTCTTGCGAGCAGCTATGCATTCCTTGTGGATGCCAAAGGTCGTGTTCGGTGGCGTGCTTCAGGAACAGCCTCTGATAAAGAAGTGACTTGTATGCTTTCTGCAACCCATAAACTCCTCAAAGAATGATACCATCAGCAATTCATGCCTAAAAGATGCAGAGAGAAGTGAAAAAATAAATGAATAAAACATTATTAGAGATATGAAATTGTAGCTGTATAACTCAATGTGTCAGGATGGCCGAGTTGGTCTAAGGCGCCAGTTTCAGGTACTGGTCCGAAAGGGCGTGGGTTCAAATCCCACTCCTGACATAGTTGCCCAGAACTTTTGTTCTCTGTCCTCTGCCTGTTTCCGTTCCCTTGTCTTACCTCGCACCACCTTATATTCTACTTCCCTCTCCGCATCAGCAGTCCCTCTCCGCATCAGCAGTCCCTCTCCGCATCAGCAGTCCCTCTCCGCATCAGCAGTCCCTCTCCGCATCAGCAGTCCCTCTCCGCATCAGCAGTCCCTCTCCGCATCAGCAGTCCCTCTCCGCATCAGCAGTCCCTCTCCGCATCAGCAGCACCTCCCTCCCTCTCCGCATCAGCACCACCTCCAGTCCCCCACAGCCTTGAACAACCCGTTGCAGTGGGAGCGGTCCCCATCAGCAGCTTTTCTTTTCACTCTGTCCTCTGCCTGTTTCCGTTCCCTTGTCTTACCTCGCACCACCTTATATTCTACTTCCCTCTCCGCATCAGCAGTCCCTCTCCGCATCAGCAGTCCCTCTCCGCATCAGCAGCACCTCCCTCCCTCTCCGCATCAGCACCACCTCCGTCCCTCTCCGCATCAGCAGCACCTCCCTCCCTCTCCGCATCAGCACCACCTCCAGTCCCCCACAGCCTTGAACAACCCGTTGCAGTGGGAGCGGTCCCCATCAGCAGCTTTTCTTTTCACTCTGTCCTCTGCCTGTTTCCGTTCCCTTGTCTTACCTCGCACCACCTTATATTCTACTTCCCTCTCCGCATCAGCAGTCCCTCTCCGCATCAGCAGTCCCTCTCCGCATCAGCAGCACCTCCCTCCCTCTCCGCATCAGCACCACCTCCGTCCCTCTCCGCATCAGCAGCACCTCCCTCCCTCTCCGCATCAGCACCACCTCCGTCCCTCTCCGCATCAGCAGCACCTCCCTCCCTCTCCGCATCAGCACCACCTCCAGTCCCCCACAACCTTGAACAATCCGTTGCAGTGGGAGTGGTCCCCATCAGCAGCACCAACGCCACCACTCTTTCCTATCCAGTCTATCCCATGTCCCCTTCTCCTCCCCTCCCCCCCAACCCTCCCCTCCCCCCCAACCCTCCCCCCACCCCTCCCCCCCAACCCTCCCCCCCAACCCTCCCCCCCAACCCTCCCCCCCCCCTCCCCCTCTTACCCCCAACTTTGAGCGGCCCCTGTCAGTGGGAGCGGCCCCTGTCAGTGGGAGCGGTCCCTGTCAGCAATGGCGCCACCAATGCTCTGGGATTTCTAGGGTCTAAACCTGCACACCCCTCCCTGCTTCCCCCCTCTCCCCATCCTCCATTCCCCCCAGCTTCTAGTGCCCCCTCTCAAATGCATCCCTATAAGTAGCAATGGCGTCACTAGCATGCTCTGGGCCTTCTCTCGCTCCGACGCGTAGCAACTGGAAGATCACGGGCCAAGCTAGTGAGTACCGTGCAGGGGGGGCAGAAGGTAGGGCTCTAGTATGGTTAGGTTGGGCTTGGGTGCTCTGAGCCTTCTCTTGCTCCGACTCGCAGAAACTGGAAGATCACGGGCCAATCGAGTTAGTACCGCGCAGGGGGGGAAGAAGGTAGGGCTATAGTATGGTTAGGTTGGGCTTGGGTGCTCTGGGCCTTCCTCTTCACTGCCCAAATTCCCCACTATTCCCTCTCCCTTTGCCGTGCGCCCACCACCCGCCAGAGGCTCCATCAGAATCAACTTCGTTACAGGCGCTTCCTTGTCCTGCTTGCTCACATTACCTCCCATCTACTGCCCCAGTCCCCCGCTCCTCCCTCCCCTTGCCCTGCGCCCATCACCTACCACCAACACGGGCTCCATTAGAATCAACTTCGTTCAGATCATATTCCTGACAGTTTTGGTGTTTCATGTCATTTCCCTGGAGTCTTGATTGGTAAACCCTTTTTTTTCTCGCTACACTGAAGCACGTAAACACGGTACTGTTCCTTGGCAGTATTCGGATTTTGCTTTTAACCGTCCCTAGCAAATGGGTATTGCGAGGGGAGGTTCAAAGGTTCATTTTCCCTGAGTAACCTACCCAGCCATTTTAAAAAGTTTTTTTGACCGGTCTTGAACGTAACGCACTACACTATTGCTGCAAAGTCCAATATAACGTGGTTGGTAGCGCGCTTCTGGAAGTGGTGATTTTCTACAAATAGGTGCGAAATCCACTATAATGTGGTTGATAGCGCGATTCTGGAAGTGGTGACTTTCTATAAATAGGTACTTCAGTATACCGAAATACAGTATGGCGAGGAACAGGGTGTAGATGGAAAGGCACCCACCACGCAGTGCAGAGCAGACATCGTCCAATCGTACGGAGCAGCAAGCAGCTCCCCTCGTGGAATACAGTGGCACCCGTTACAGCTGTATCGCCTCTGTTCGCCCACTTTCCCCCCTCCTCCACTGGTCCGCTCGCCCGCTCGCCTGCAGTGCCTGGTGAAAGCGGAAACCCTAATTTGGAGCCTCCCCGTTGGTCCTCGTGAACACGTCACGCAGCGTACATCTAAATGAACCAGCTGGGGAGTCAGGACTGGAGTCAGAGAAAAGGACTCTCGAGTCAGGAGGAGGACTCAGAGATGGGTGACAACACAGGATCCATTTTTTGTCGGTGAAGGGAAGAACGTCCATGCATGCTCTTGGCTAATTGTGTGAGCGTTAGACGTGGTTCCAGTCTAGGCAACGCCGGCTTAGGTTGGTTATACTCCTCTCGTAGCAACAACTGTGTATTTATTTATTTGGTGACATTTCAGTCAACCTGAGAGTTTCCACAGGGCCGTCTTTACTCGATCTTACAGCACCGGAAGTCTGTATTTATATTATATATATTTTCTTTATTCTCGCGTTCGTAGTGTTTGGCTCGAAAAGCCCAGCTGCGCATCCAGCTATGGTATCGCGCTTCTCAGTTGCTAACATTTTCGACTTTTGCCCTGACTGTAACCTAATTGACTTGCCTGATGTAATTTAGAGTTTGTACTCGTTTAGAGAGGCCCCATTTGTGGCAGCAAGTCTAGTTGTAACGCCAAGAGCCATGGTTTCGTGTTTCTCCGTCGCTCCCATACACAACGACAAGTACGACTATTACATCGACGATTACATCTCCGATGACGACCCGAACCTCGACCCGGACGTCCGTACGCTTCGCAAGGCGAAGCAAAGGCGCTACGAGGAGCGGCTCGCGAAGGAAGCGGCGAAAGCGGCGGAGGAAAGGGAGAGGATACGGCAGAGAGTCGGGGGAGTGGTGGTGGTGGGTGTGGATGTTAATGAAAGCGGTCAGAAGGTCGTTGACTTCGCGATTGAGAATATGGTGAAGCGAGGCGGCAAGCTTGTGCTCGTGCACGTCGCCACCGTCACTCCCCTCGTTCAGTCCGGCCCAGGTGAGTCACTTGGTTCGACGCGCTTCCGGGAATGAGGTAACTTATGAGTCGACTCAAAAGGCAGGAGTGAAGCTGGTGCTCGTGCATGTCGCCACCACCACTCCTCTGGTTCAGTCCGGTCCAGGCTCAGTCCAGGTGAGTGATGTGGTTTGCGTCCCGTTTAAGAATGGTTTGGAAGGGTGGGGAGAGGGTGATGATAGATAAAGGCCAAGGAGAGCAGTCACAGAGGTGTGAGTGGCTCGATTTGAGTCCCAGTTTCGTCAAGCAGAAGAACAACACATTGCATAGTCATGCTTGCAGCAAGCACATGGATAGGGGGAGTAGGGAGCAGATAAGGGCATGGTGGAGCGGGCAGAACCAGGCAGGTAGAACCAGGCGGGTAGAACCTGCACATGTCACGTGGAGTCACCTCGTTGCAGCTTTCCGTCTATTCTCTTCCCTCCTTATTCCATGCCGGTGCAGGCCGCAGCGACAAGAGAGAGGTGAAGAGCAGGGAGCGCGCGTGGTGGGGGGGATACAACCTGCACATGTCACACGAGGTCGCACGCCTGCTCAAGCCACACAGGCGGCACTGCAGAGCCGCTGCGGTGAGTCCTTCATGATCGGAATGTGCATGGTGGGGCGGGTAGGTACAACCTTCACATGTCACATGAGGTCGCTCGCTTGCTGAAACCACACCAGCCACACTGCATGCAGAGCAGCCGGGGTGAGTCCATTCTTCACTTCACATTAAGTTGACATCAAGTCCTTTCTACAAGAGCATCATCACCACGACGCCAACCGCCCTCCCCATCCGTCCCCTCCCTCTCTTTCCTTCAGATGGAAGTGGAGGTGCGTATAGTGCGAGGCAAGCCAGTGCCACACACGCTCTTGAAAGAAGAACCCCTCCCCCCCCCCCCCCTCTTTCTTGCTTCCTCCTCCCTCCTTCTCTTGCTTCCCCTCCTTCCCACTTTATTTTCCTTCAGATGGAAGTGGAGGTGCGGATAGTGCGAGGCAAATCAGTGCCACACACGCTCTTGACAGAGGTGTTCCAGCCTCACCCTTCCTCGCCCCTCCCCGTCCTTCCCCTCCCTCCGTTCCCCTTCAGATGGAAGTGGAGGTGCGGATAGTGCGAGGCAAGTCAGTGCCACACACGCTTTTGAAAGAGGTGTTCCCGCCTCGCCCCTCCTCGTCCCTCCCCCTCCTTCCCCTCCCTCCCTTTTCACGACAGATGGAAGTGGAGGTGTGTATAGTGCGAGGCAAGTCAATACCACACACGCTCTTGAAAGAGGCTGCTTCAACTCCACTTCTCTCCCCCTCCCCCCCTGTGTTGCTTCCCCTCCCTCCTCTTTTCTTTCCCCTCAGATGGAAGTGGAGGTGCGGATAGTGCGAGGCAAGTCAGTGCCACACACGCTCTTGAAAGAGGCTGCTGCGCTCTCTGCAACCACGCTGCTGCTGGGGGGGCAGGGGCGGAAGGGCAAGGGCAAGGAGAACGCGCAGGGAGAAGGGGAGGGTGCACGGGAGGAGAGGCGGAGGGGGGAGGCCGCAGCAGCAGGCGCAGCAGCAGCAGGGGTGGCGGGGATGAGTGTGGTCGGAGGAATGCCGGTTGGAAAATCAAGGTGAGATTTGCTTAGTCGAGGGGGCAGCGGCAGCAGCAGCAGGGGTAGCGGGGATGAGTGTGGATGGTGGGATGCAGGTCGGCAAGTCAAGGTGAGATTCGTTCATTCACAGGAGCAACAGCAGCAGGCGCAGCAGCAGCTGGGGTTGCGGGGATGAGGGTGGTTGGCGGGATGCAGGTCAGGACACAACGCCTTCTCCTCGCGTGGTGTATCGTGGTGTATCCCTCCTCCTCGCGTGTTGTGCTGCAGCCTGGAATCAACGCCTTCTCCTCTCCCATTCCAACCCCCATTCCCCCCAACAGGCAATCGGGCCCCAGCACAGCAAGCTACTGCGCCGCCCCCCTCTGGGCTGTGTGGTGCTCGTGGTGGATCTCTCCTCCTCGCGAGTCGTGCTGCAGCCTGGACTCAACGCCTTCTCCTCTCCCATCCCAACCCCCATTCCCCCCACCAGGCAATCGGGCCCCAGCACTGCAAGTTATTGCGCCCGGCGTCCCCAACTAGGCTGTGTGGTGCTCGTGGTGGACCCCTCTTCCTCGCGTGTCGTGCTGCAGTCAGGCAACGTCGACGTCCGCTACCCCAACCACCCCATGACGCCTTGTGTTCTCCCATCCCCATCTCCATTCCCCCCAGCAGGCAATCGGGTCCCAACACATCAAGCTACTGTGCCCGTCGTCCCCCTCTAGGCTGTGTGGTGCTCGTGGTGGATCCTTCCTCCTCGCGTGTCGTGCTGCAGTCAGGGAACGTTGACTTCCGCTACCCCAACCACCCCATCCGGGGCCGCCACAGGCCTAACGCCACCCGCGCCCGCACCCTCGGTGCTGGGGGTGCCGGTGCTGCTGGTAGCGGTGGTGCTGCTGCTTTGGAGGCTGCTGGGAGTGATGGGGTTGGGAGTGCTGGTGCTACAGGTGTGATCGCTGCTGCATCTGTTTCTGCTGCTGCTGCTGCTCGTGCTGCTGCTGTTGCAGTGGGTTCAAGAGCTCTATCCGCTTATCCTGCTGATGCTGCCGCCTCTGGTTCATCTGGAGCAGCAGCGGAACAGCAGGGTCATTTGGGTCACACACGTCCCACTGCTCTGCACACTGCATCATCATCAGCAGCGCCTGCAGCAGCACCAGTTGGGGCAGCAGCAACAGCAGCAGCAGCACGGCCAGCAGCAGGGCGAGCCTCTGTCAGTAGTACTGTTGCCGCTGCTGCCGCCGCTGCTGCAGCAGCAGTCAGGATAGCCCCAGGCCCAGGCTCAGGCTCAACCCCAGGCCTACGCATGGCCACAGGCCCAGGCCCAGCCTCAGGCTCAACCCCAGGCCCAGCAACTCTCCCAGGCAACTGTAGGCAGGCTGGACCCCAACCTTCAGCCCGGGAATGGGAATCCGCAGCAGTCAGGGTAGGCCCAGGCGCAGGCCCCCCAGCCTCGGGCTCAACCCCAGGCCCAGCAACTCTCCCAGGCAACTGTAGGCAGCCAGGACCCCAACCTTCAGCCCGGGAATGGGAATCACGTGAGTTGGCCCAGAAAGGACGCCCCTCGGCACGAGAGTGGGAGTGTTTGCAAGTGCAAGCCAGTGCTCAGGATGATGATGGTGGGGGAGTTGATACGGACGCTGCTGCTTTGCGTTCTGCTTCTCCTCGCCCCTCTCCTCCGCCGTCTCCCTCGGGTTCTTCCTCGTCCTCTCAGCCCTCCTCTGCCGTTCCGGTTGCCTACCCTCCCTCTTCCGAACTCACCGCTGCTGCTATTACTGCTGCTGCTGTTACTTCTGCAGCTGTTGGTGGGGATGATTATGATGAAGATGATGATAATGATTCTGACAACCCAGGTCCTGTTGGTAACGCATGCTCAGATACGAGCGCAGCAGCTACAGCTGCTACAGCCGAGGTTGTAGCCAGGGAGCAACGCTTGGCTGCTAGGGTTTCTGCGATGCAGTCTGCTACAGCCAAGAGTTTTCCAGCCAGAACCGCTACAACTAAGGTAGCTACAGCCACGATTGCTGCTGCTGGTTCCGCTGCTGCTGCTGCTTCTGGTGCTGGTGGTGCTGCTGGTGGTGCTGTTGCTGGTGGTGGTGCTGCTGGTGGTTATACACCCGTTACTCACTACTATCACCAGCAGATGACCCCGTCATCATCGCTCTCCTCCTCCCCGTCTGTCCTGCACACTCGCTCCTCCCATTCCTCTAGCTCCTCTGTTACCCTCTCCCACCCTCCCTCCGCCTCCTCTTGGTCTGTAAAGCCAGCACGGGATGGTGGTAGCGTTCAGAGGAATAGTGGCAGTTTGAGAGGGATGGAAGGGGATGGGGAAGGGTCTGTGAAGCCAGCACGGGAGGGTGGTAATGTTCAGAGGAGTAGTGGCAGTTTGAGAGGGGTGGAAGGGGAGGGAGAAGGGGAGGCTCGTGCTAAAGGGGTGGGGTCATTGGCGGGGTGGAAGGTGGGTGGTGGTGCTGACGATGGGTCGAGTGTTCAGAGCTACAGGAGTAGTCTGCATGGGGTGAAGGAGGAGGAGGAGGAAGAAGAGGAAGAGGAAGAAGAGGAGGAAGAAGAGGAGGAAGAAGAGGACGAGGAGGATGGGGAGGGGGACGAGGAGGAAGAAGAAGGGGTGGAACGAGTGGGGGGAAGGGTGGTCGGGGAGGGTTGTGAAGAGGGGGAGGATGGGGAGGGGGAGCAGAGGGAAGTGGATGAGGAGGAGGAGGACGAGGAGGAGGAAGAGGAGGAAGATGGAGGTTCGAGTTGGAGCAGTTGCGGCAGTGCTGGGAGGGAGTTGGAGCAGCAACAGAGGAACCAGCAGAGGGACGAGAGGAGAGAAGAGGAGGGTGTGGTGGTCGGGGAGAGAAGCTTAGATGAAGGGCATGAAGTGAGGATAGACAGGAGGGGAGACGGGCGGGAGGACAGGAGGGGTGAAGGGAAAGCAGAAAGGAGGGAAGAAGCGAGAATAGAGGGGGCGGAGGGGGGGAGAAAGAGGCGTGCACAGGTGCTTGTGTGTGACGGGACAGACGGAGAACGATTAAGGGAGTCAAGAACCAACAGTGAATGCAGTTCAAGGCATGAGCAATCGGGTCTCTCAATTACAACATCGGGTGCTTTGGCTCGTGATGGTGCTGCAGGTGCTTCTGGTGCTTTTGCTAGTGCGCTTGGGAGACAGGAAAGCAGCAAGAGCAGCAGGAGTGGCAGCAGGAGCAGCAGAGGGGTGATGGCAGGGGCGCAAGAGCGTGTTTTGAGAGATCATAGCAGAGAGGGTGACAGGTGGGGAGGGACAAGTTTAGATGGGAGAAGTTTGGATGGGAGGAGTGTGGATGGAAGGAGTGTCGATGGGAGAAGCATGGATGGGAGGAGCATGGATGGGAGGAGCATGGATGGGAGGAGTGTAGACAGCAGAACCACCATCACCACTACCATCACCAGCACATACATGCATAGACCATTAGAGAGCCTTACCTCTTGTTCCTCCTCTATCTCCTCCCTCTCCTCCCTCACTCCCCCCTTCACCCCTCCCCAGCATCACCACGCCTCCTCCCTCTCTCGCCCCCCGCCTGTTCGCCCGTCATGTAGACCAAGAGTAGCGCCTAGGGGGCTGAATGGATCGTACCATTCTGGTAACCTGGTTACCAATAGCAGGCTTGTTACAAACAGCGGTGCGGTTACCAGCGGCACGAGCGCGTGCTACGACGAGAGTGGGAGTGTGAGTCGATATGGCGAGGGGAGTGAGAGCGTGAGTCGGTACACGGGAAGGAGTGAGGGTGCGAGTGAGGGTTTTAGTGGGAGTGTGAGTGGGAGTGTGAGGGTGGTTTCAGATCTAGCAAATATCAACATCGAGCACAGCAGGAGGATACAGAGGCAGATGCACAGACAGAGGCAGGGAGGAGGGGCATCGAGGTTGGGAGAGGGGCAAAGAGAGGAGGAGGGGCAAAGGGAAGGGGAGTCGAGGAGTGATCTTGGGCGCGGAGACGAACAGACGGAACGGCAGGAGGAGGATGAGGAGGAGGCGGACGAGGAGGAGGAGCAGGAGCAGCAAGAGTATGAGGAGCAGGAGTCTGGTGAATGGCAAGAGCCGGGGGGATTAGGGATAGAGCAGCAGCGGAGAATAGATACTAGTATGCCCAGGCAATCAGGAGAGTGCGATGAGAGGGGAGAGTGTGATGGGAGAGGGGAGGGCAATGAGAGGGAGAGAAGACTTTTGAGTCGACTCAAAAGTCACCTCATAGATACTAGTATGCCCAGGCAATCAGGAGAGTGCGATGAGAAGGGAGAGTGTGATGGGAGAGGGCAGGGCAATGAGAGGGAGAGAAATGGGAGGGAGTGCGAGAAAGGGGGGGTTGGGGCAGGGGTGGGAGGCGAGTTGAGGAGAGAGGAAGGCAAGGGTGGGTGGAGCATGAGGGGGTTGCTGAAACTGGGAGGAAAAAGCTCAGGTCATGATGCTGCCACTGCTGCTACTGCTTCTTCAGCATCTGCTGCTGTTTCTTTCCCACCTCAAATCGCTTCTCAATCTGACGCATCAGCATCAGCATCTGCAGTGGCAGCAGCACCTACTGCTGCTACCCCGGCTGCTGCCACAGCTGCCACTACTGCTACCCCAGGTCTTGCTGCTGGAGCAGCTGCACCCGCTGCTGTTGCCGATTCCCCTGGCCTAACCGGCTGGTTCAGAATACCATCCACAGCACACCAGGCAGGCACTCCGGCAGGGTCAGCAGTATCAGACTCCCACAGCACAGCAGGAGGCTCGGATGACAAGCCACACGCCCCTCTCCACACGTCTGTCTTCGGGGAGTCAAGTGTCCCTCTGGTGGGGCAAACTCAGCAGCAGGCAGAGGGGGTGCAAGGTGGTGGGGGAAGGCGGTCTATGGATGGGCTTCTTGCTGCCAACCGGCATGTTGCGCTTCTGAATCGCCGGCCCTGGCCCAAGAACGTGCCCGCTCACACCCAGCCCCAGCATGTGCCTGCTGCTGCTGCTGGAGTTGGTGCTGCTGCCCCTGCTGCTGCCCCTGCTGCTGCCCCTGCTGCTGCCCCTGCTGCTACTGCGACTGCTGCTAGTGCCGCCGCTGCTGCTGGCAGCCCTGCTGATGGGGCTGCAAGTGGGGATAACCCTGTAGCTTCCACAGCTGCTGCTGTCACAACTGCTGCTGCTGGTGCTGCTGCTGGAGAAGGAATGACTCTTGATGCAGTTGCTTCTGCTGCTGTTGTTGTGGCTGCTGCTGCTTCTGATGCTGCTGCACTGCCTGCTGGCCCACAGGCACCTGCCACACAGGTGCCAAAGCCGACACTGAACGTTCGCAAACCCAGGCGGAACCTCCAAAAGGGAGAAGCAGCAGCTCCAGCTGCAAACGTAGCAGTGGCAGCAGCAGCAGATTCTGCCAGTGATTCCCCTGCTGTGAATCCTGCGGCATGCATTCCCCCAGAATCTGCTGCTGCTGCTGCTGCTGTAGCGTCTCCGCTTGATGTGCCGATTCCTTCCGCTGCACCCTCTGCTGGCGCTCCTCCTGTTGCGTCTGCTGGGAAGAGCACCCCGCCAATTTCAGTAGACGACCTGTTTCAGCTCGTCTTTGCAAACCAGAATTTACTCGCACAGCAGCAGCAAATCCAGCCTTTATCCTCCTCCTCCCGCTCGTCTCAATTCCTTCCAGCTGCCACGCACTCTCCCGCCCGCATCTTTCCTCTCAAAGAGCTTGTTGCAGCAACAGGAAATTTCGCTCGAGAGAACATGATAGGGAAGGGAGGGTACGCGCATGTGTATAAAGGGAAACTGAAGCTTACTATAGGGGAGCATACGGGCAGTGGGGGTGCGGTTGGTGGCGGTGGTAGAGGCGGATTGAGGAGTTCGGGGGGGTCGAGCAAGGTTGTGAGGGTGGCGGTTAAGAGGGTGTATAAGAAGGGGAGGAGTAGGGACAAGGAGCGGGCGAAGCAGGCGAGGGAAAAAGAAGTGAGGGAGAAGGAAAAGAGAGGAGGAGGTGTTGGGGAGGAGGGGAAGGAGGGAAAAGAGGAGGGAAAGGAGGAGGGAAACGAGGAGGGTGACGGCCTAGAGGAACAAGAAGGAGAAGAAGAGAGGAAGGCTCGTGAGGCAGAGGAGAATGAGAGATTTATGACTGAGGTGCGGATAGTAGAGCAAGCCAGTGCCCATCCGAACATTGTGAAGCTTCTGGGATACTGCATGGAGGGAGGAGAGCATATTATGGTGTATGAGCTGGCAGGGAATGGCAGTGTGGAGCGCAACTTGCACTCCAAGTCAAGAGATGTGATGCCGTGGGAGCGGCGCGTGCAGGCTTTGGTCGGCGCGGCTCGAGGGCTGGCCTACCTCCACAGCGGCTGTAGCAGCAATAGCGGCTGTAGCAGCAATAGTGGTACTAGCAGCAATAGCGGCTGTAGCAGCAATAGTGGTACTAGCAGCAATAGCGGCTGTAGCAGCAGCACCAGTAGAGCAGCAGCAGCAGGACCGGGAGGGGTGGGAGGAGAAGGATCAGCTGCAGTTGCAGCAGCAGCAGCAGGAGCAGGTGAAACAGCAGCAGCAGCAGCAGCAGCAGCAGCAGCAGGAGAGGGGTGCATAGTGCATAGGGACATCAAGACAGGCAACATTCTAGTGGGCCACGACTGGCAACCACTGGTTGCTGATTTCGGCCTTGCTAGATGGATCCCCTCTCCTCCCCCACCCACCTCCGCATCCCCCTTACAAGCCTCCCCTTTACAAGCCTCTTCATCTCCCTTACAATCCTCTGGGTCGGCTATAAATGGGGTGGCGAATAAACCTGCTATAGACGGATCCATTAAGTCTCCTATAGAGGGTACGGTGGGGTATATGGCGCCCGAGTATTTTCTTAGGGGGCGGCTGTCCACCCACACTGATACATACGCGTTTGGAGTGCTGCTGCTGGAGCTTATAACGAGTCGCAGGCCTGTGGATCCGCGGCGGAGCAAAGAGGAGATGGACCTGGTGCTGTGGGTGAGTTGTAGGGGTGGGGAGGGATGATGGGGGGTGAGGCGGGGTGAAGGGGGGGTTAGGGGGGGTGAGAGGGGGTGAAGGTGGTTAACGGGGGGTTGAGTGAGCGAGTGAGCGAGTGGAGCAAGGAGGAGATGGACCTGGTGCCATGGGTGAGTGAGGGGGGTTCGAGTAAGAGAGAGTAAATGTGGAAGGGGGAGAGTGTGTGTGAAAGGGGGAAAGTGTGTATGAAAAAATGGGGAGAGTTTTGAGTGAAAAAGGGGAGAAGTGTGGGGAAGGGGCCTGTGGACCCGCGGCGAAGCAAAGAGGAGATGGACGTGGTGCTGTGGGTGAGTGGAGGGGGGGGAGGGTGAGGGGGGGTGAGAGGCGGTGAGGCAGGGTGAGGCGGGGTGAGGGGGGGTGAGAGGGGGTGAAGGCGGGTGAGGAGGGGTTGAGTGAACGAGTGAGTCAGTGAGGCAAGGAGGAGATGGACCTTGTGCTGTGGGTGAGTGTGAAGGGGGGGAGTGTGTGTGAAAGGGTGAAGTGAGTGTGAGTTTGAAGGGGTGCGTGGGTGAGTGTGCTAGAGTGGGGGACAGAAGCTTGGTGGATGAGTGGGCGAGTGTTGCTCTTTTGTTCGCAGCAGAGCAAGGAAGAGAGACAGGACTGCGTAAGAGCCGATCCAAACATCACCTCTCGTTCTCCTTCCCCGCGTCCTTCACCAACCCAACCTCTCCTCATGCCTCTCCTTGCCTTGGGGTGGACTGAGGCATGCTCTTTTATTCTCTCCCTCTTCTCCCCACCCACTCCCAGGCGCTCTTCCTGCTGGGCTCTGGTAGACTGCATCTGTTAGTGGTAGACCCCCGTCTGGAGGGCACGGTGGATCTGCCTTCTCTCCACCGCATGGCTGCTGCTGTGCTGCTCTGCTCAAGTGCCAAAAGAGGCTTGCTTTTTTATTCTCTCCCTCTCCCCCCCTCCCCTTTTCAGGCGCTCCCTCTGCTGGGCTCTGGTAGACTGCACCTGTTAGTGGACCCCCGTCTGGAGGGCACGTTGGATCTGCCCTCACTGCACCGCATGGCTGCTGCTGCCCTGCTCTGCCTGCGCCACACGCCCTCCCTCCGCCCCTCCATGCACCAAGTGGCCCTGCTGCTAGAAGGGCATTCGCTGAACTACCAGCAGGTGGGTTTCCTGTCTTAGCTGGGGCTTGTTGATAGGGCTGCCCTGCTCTGCTCTACTCTCCTATGCTCTCCCCTTCTCTGCTGCTGTAAGGGCATTCCGTGGATTACCAACAGGTGGGTTTGCTGCCTTAGCTGGGGCTTGTTGATGGGTTCGCTCTGCTCTGCTCTCCGCTTCTCTGCTCTTCGTCACAAGCTCTCCCTGCGCCCCTCCATGCACCAAGTCGCTATGCTGCTGGAAGGGTATTTGCTGGATTACCAGCAGGTGGGTGCCTTGCCTTTGTGCTGCCTGGTGTGCTCTGCTGTTTGGGTTCCTCTCTGATATGGGCCCTGTTAGGCATGCCTTGTGCCATGCATCATGTGCCACATGCTATGGGAATTGCATTATGTTCGATTTGCGATGAGTGATGTGCAATTAGCCATGCGCCATGTGCCATGCATTCAACCTGGTGTTTGCAGCTTCAATATCTACCTCCCATCGGTGCATCATTTGCCGAAGGCCCCACTGAACTCACCATCCTTTAACATCCCTTCTTTACCATTGCACAGTTGTACCTACACTGGCCGAGCCTGCGGGACCATGCTCAGCCCACCACAGCGGAGAGCAAACGAATGGCTGCTGCCAAGGCTGCTGCTGTGGGAGGAATGCGAAATAAAGATCCCGAAGAGAAGAAAAATGAGGAGAATAAAGGAGGTTAACGACCCAAGGAAGAAAAGCATATGTGTCTGATCGGAGTTGTATTATTATCATGTGTGTGAGCCTTGTGTAATGTTATGTATAATAGCAAAGCCACTTCAGAGTTATTATTATTGTTGCAAGTGCAACGCTTTCCCTCTAAAGCACATTTCGATATTTTGCCGGGGCACTGCCAGCCACGTGCGCAGCCTTCTATTCGCCACATTCTCGAATTTGCCAGTTCAGCCTTCGAGTCTTTCGGACCAATGCGGGGCAACCAATTCGCAAGGATCCTTGGGTCAAGTCAGGCAGGTCCGCCTCCTGGCCTCGCTAATGTAACAGGGGCACGGTCACATTCTTGTTTTTCCTCTCCGTTATAGCGTCAACCTCACAATCTTGCCTTCTCCAAAGTGACATTCATTCTCCAGCTCTCACTTGCTTGATTCACGAATCACCAGCCAAATTTCACATTTGAATCCGCCAGAATTCGTTTTAGTTTCTTCCTCCATTGACGTTTTCTGACTGCTCCTCTGCTGTCTTTCACATGTCATCTCCCCTCTCCGTGCTTCTCGGTTGCCGTTCGCACGTCTGTAAACTAGCCAGCACTAATCTAAAATTTACATCAAGAGTTGCAGGTTGGTGTATAGTTTAATCGTTGCGGCTGCAAAACATGGGAAGGTACACGAATCTTCTGCTGATCGTCGCCGCTGCGGCCGGCACGGCAGCGGGGGTGTACCTCGTTCGGCGCTACTACTGCTGCCAGAAGAAAAAAACATGCCGCGACGACGCTTCGTCGAAAGGGATTTCCACGAAAGAGCTGATCGATCGGTTAAGGGAGGAGTGCAGCACGAGCAAGGAGAAACTGCTGCAGATCGCGGCGGACATGAAGGCGGAAATGGTTTCCGGGCTCAGGAGCACGCAGGGGAGCACGCTCAAGATGCTTCCTTCCTACGTCGACCGTCTCCCCGATGGGTACGTGTTGTTGGGTTTCGTCTTTTGATTCACACAAAAACAAGATGGTCTCAGGAGCACGCAGGGAAGCACGCTCAAGATGCTTCCCTCCTACGTTGACAGACTCCCTGATGGGTACGTGTCCGTGAAATTTGTCTTTCAATCTACGCAATAATATGCTGGTTTAAGTAGCACGCAGGGAAGCACGCTCAAGATGCTTCCTTCGAAGCAGTAGGATCCTACGTTGACCGTCTTCTGGATGGGTTCGTGTCCTTGGTGGTTATTTTTTTTCACGAATCCACAAAGAAACATGTTGGTTTGAGGAGCACCCAGGGTATCGCAAAAAAAAAAAAAAAAAAAAAAAAAAACAGAGCGCAGCTAGGTTGTAGCTAGTACCTACTGGCAAAAAACCGGATCTTGTGCAAAATCTCAAAGTTGTTTTACGAATAGCCTGAAATCTTTGGCGGATTACAGGTCACTCTAATCGGAACATATGACCTCTTTTTTTCCGTGACTAGCTAACAAGTTCTTTTGTTATCAACTCTCACTTGCGCAGCTCGGAGAAGGTCGTGTTCTACGCGCTGGACCTAGGCGGGACCAAGTGGTTGTGAATTTTTTTTAATTGTTTTCTTGGGTGATTAACTCTCTCGTGTGCAGGTCGGAGAAGGGCGTGTTCTACGCGCTAGACCTGGGCGGGACCAACTTCCGCGTGCTGCGAGTGCCTCTGCTGGGGAGGGACGGTGGGATTGGCAAGGTGGACTCAGAGGGTGCCTCCATCAGCCCCGAGCTCATGACTGGGACCACCGAGGTGAGTTGTCATGCATAGAGGTGAGGTTACGATAAGCAGCACGGAGGTGGGTTGTGAGAGCGTTTTGAGACGCGTCTGAAGTTCTCTGGATACGGATGCTGGAATCGGCAAGGTGGACTCGGAGGGCGCCTCCATCAGCCCCGAGCTCATGACCGGCACCACCGAGGTGGGTTGTTGTGAGAGGCGGCATGGAAGTGAGGTAACTTGGGCTCTGAGGGCGCCTCCATCAGCCCCGAGCTTATGACTGGCACCACCGAGGTGAGCCGGCACATAGATGGGTCACGAGAGGCAGCATGGAGGTGGGTTGTGTGAGGCTTTTGAGACGTTTTAGAAGTTGTCTCTGGATAAGGATGGTGGCATTGGCAAGGTGGACTCCGAGGGTGCTTCCATCAGCCCCGAGCTTATGACTGGCACCACCGAGGTGAGCCGGCACATAGATGGGTCACGAGAGGCAGCATGGAGGTGGGTTGTGTGAGGCTTTTGAGACGTTTTAGAAGTTGTCTCTGGATAAGGATGGTGGCATTGGCAAGGTGGACTCCGAGGGTGCTTCCATCAGCCCCGAGCTTATGACTGGCACCACTGAGGTGAGTGCTATTCTTCCCGATTCACAATCTTTTATTTAAGATCTTCCTTTTTCACCAGTAGTGCTATGTTTTCTAGAAGTATACATTTTATGTTTTCTGTTCTCTTTTGCAGGCTCTGTTTGACTACATTGCATCGAGGCTGGCAGCTTTTGTGGCAAAGGAGGAGAAGGAGTTCAAACCAGCAGAGGACTGCTTCTTACATGGATTTTCCATCCTGTTCTCTGTTTGCTACGGCAGGCTCTGTTTGACTACATTGCATCGAGGCTGGCGGCCTTCGTGGCGAAGGAAGAGGAGGAGTTCAAGCCAGCAGAGGGCAAGCACCGCGAACTGGGGTTCACATTCTCGTTTCCGTGCGACCACACGGCTATCAATGCTGGGCGGCTCATTCAGTGGACCAAGGGTTTCAACATCCCTGAAACTGTGAGTCTTAAGTGGTTAGGAAATGGGAGAGGAGGAGGGGAGGCGAAGAGGAGGAGTTCAAGCCAGCAGAGGGCAAGCACCGCGAGCTGGTGTTCACATTCTCCTTCCCGTGCGACCACACGGCGAATAATGCTGGGCGGCTTATCAAGTGGACCAAAGGTTTCAACATCCCTGAAACTGAGGGTGGTTGTGAGTCGAATCAAAATCTGAGTTCAAGCCAGCAGAGGGCAAGCACCAGTTGCTGGGGTTCACATTCTCGTTCCCGTGTGACCACATGGCCATCAATGCTGGGAGGCCCATTCAATGGACCAAGGGTTTTAACATCCCTGAAACGGTGAGTTTGAGTGGATCAGGAAGGGGGAGAGGAGGTGGGAGGTGAGTTAAAGCCAGCAGAGGGCTAGTACTGGGAGCTGGGCTTCACATTTTCTGCTACTTAACATATGCAATTACTGTCTTTTTGTAGTCCAATAGTACCAAGAAAACGCAATTCTGCTGGTTTTTTTCCATGTTGTCCAAGCATTGGATACTTGTGAGTTTTTTTATAAAAATGAATTTCCTTTCTAAATGCGTCATGCCGTTGAATGTTTTGCTCGGTGTGTGCAGGAGGGGAGGGACGTGGTTCAGGTTCTAGAGGAATCTCTTGAACGGCAGAAGCTTGACATGAAAGTCTCGGCACTGGTAAGAATGTTGTCAAGATATGACATTTTATTAACGTGGTTGTTTTGCAACGTGCAACGTTACACAGCATCAGCTTTGCCCATCATGAACGTTGCATACCATGAACAATGCATAGCATGAACGGTGCACAGCATGAATGAACATTGCATATCATGAACATTGCATAGCATGAACATTGTGTTACATGAACATTGCATATCATGAACATTGCATAGTATGAACATTGTGTTACATGAACATTGCATATCATGAACATTGCATAGCATGAACATTGCATTACATGAACATTGCATAACGCTAACATTGCATAATTTCAAGGTTCCACATAACATCAACATTGCATAACTTCAACATTTCATAACTTCAACATTGAATAACATCAAGATAGCATAACATTAACGTTGCATAACTTTAGCATCGCATAACGTCAAGATTTCAAAACGTGAACATTGCATAACATAAGCATTGACTTTCCACCCCATTCACCTGCAGGTAAACGATGCAGTGCTGGCAGGAGCACGGTTCGTGGAGTCAGATATGATGCTGGGGGTGATTCCGTTCTTTTGAGGGGCCTCGGAACGTATTTCCAACGCAGAGTGGCTGTAACGTGCAACCTGAACCTTGCCTCTCTATCCCATTGCAGGTGAACGATGCAGTGGGCACGCTCGCAGGAGCATGGTTCGTGGAGTCAGATGCGATGCTGGGGGTCGTATGAGGCACCTCAAAGGCATTGCATAAGATGAACATTACATGTCCATCCCATCCCATTGCAGGTGAATGATGCAGTGGGCACACTGGCAGGAGCGCGGTTCGTGGAGTCAGACGTGATGCTGGGGGTCGTATGAGGTGCCTCAAAGGGTATTGATTGGCTATTCCATCCCATCCCATCCCATCCCATCCCATCCCACCGCAGGTGAACGATGCAGTGGGTACGCTCGCAGGAGCACGGTTCGTGGAGTCAGATGTGATGCTGGGGGTCATTAGAGGTGCTCCTAAGGCAGTGCATGGTTAAGCAAACCATCCCATTCCGTCCCGTTTCTTTGCAGGTGAATGATGCAGTGGGCACACTGGCAGGAGCGCGGTTTGTGGAGTCAGATGTGATGCTGGGGGTCATCCTAGGCACGGGGTCCAACGCGTGCTACGAGGAGATTCAAGACATGAGCGTCAGACAGACTGGGCCTCCTCCAGCCTCTGGCCGCATGGTATGTTTATAGGGCTTGTAAAGCGTCAAATTTGTTCTTTAGCGCCTGGCATGGGGTCCAACGCGTGCTACAAGGAGATTCAGGACACCCGCGCCAGGCAAACCGGCCCAGGAACACTCATTGTGTTTGCCTGCATTCCACCGGGTGATCGACATGTAGTGAGGCAATTTCTGGTCCAGCCATCTGAAATTCCTGCCCTGACCCCGTTCTACACCCCAAACCCCCCCCCCCCCCCCCGCCTCTCTTTCCTGCCTCCCTGCCCGCCTGCCTACCTCATTCACACCAGGTGATCCACATGGAGTGGGGCAACTTCTGGTCCGGCCATCTGCTTTCTTGTTCATTCCCTTCCTGCCCCTTTCCCCCCTCCTCTCCCTACCTGTCTGCTTATCTGCCTCTAGCACACGAGGTGATCAGCATGGAGTGGGGCAACTTCTGGTCTGGCCATCTGCCTTGCTTCTAATCCCCTTCTTGTTCCTTTCTCCTCCCTTTTCCCTTCCTGTATCCTTGCCTGTCTGTATGTCTGCCTGTCGCCTCACCAGGTGATCAACATGGAGTGGGGCAACTTCTGGTCCGGCCAACTGCCTGTCACGGAATACGACGACCTTCTTGACTCAAAGAGCGCCAACTGCGGCCAGCAAGTGAGGCTAAGCACGCTCTATGTCATGGTTGAATGGAGTTAGGTGGGGCAATACTCGGCCCAGCCATCCTCTTTCCGTTAGCCCATCTGCCTGTCAACGGAGTAGGACGACCTGTTTGGTTCTAAGAGCGCCAACTGCGGCCAGCAGGTGAGCCTGAATGCGCAACTTTGCATACCAGACACGACTTTCCAGGAGAGTTTCAGCAGGTGAGCTTGAGTACAGAGATGAAACTCATGTACACGAAACTTGCTCTGTCTTCTCAAGCAAGCACAGTCCAAGCATTATGTCCTCCCGAATTTCTTCTAGTGAAGTGTGGTTAGCACAATTTAGTTTGGAGATCGGCCATTTGTTATCCTTATATTTTCCGAGTCTCACCACGATATCTCCCCACCAACCCAATTCTCTTCCACAACGCAATGAGTAGATGAAATCAAGCAGCATGTTAAGGGGTATGTGGTGCTCTCAATGGATTGTCCGACACTTACAACCTATTTTTGCAAGCCCCCCAACGTTATTGTGTGTCACAGCGCTACGAGAAGATGATATCTGGCATGTATGTGGGGGAGGTGGTGCGTCTGGCCCTGTTGGACATTGCTCAGAATTCGAATCTCTTTGGCCACCCCGTCCCTGCTAAGCTGCTCCAACCCAACTCCCTCCCGTGAGAAATGAATGCTTTTTGTCAATCTGTTTATCCTGGATTTTGCTTGTTGATTTTTTCTACCCAATGCAACTGGCACTAGCCTGGTCTGTATAGTCTTTGCTGTTGCATTTCGTACCAAAACATGTATAGGTGATCGACAGCAGATCGCGTTGTAACAGAAATAAAAAAGAACTGTCTGGCAACAGAAGTTACACTCTTTTTTCCTCCTGTGCTGTGGATCGCAGGACGCCCAAAGTAGCAATCATCCACGAAGATACCTCTTCAGACCTCTCAAAAGTTGGATCTGTACTCGCCGAGGCTCTTGAGGTGTGTAAGCCGCATCCAGCCAGGCCCTCATCTCATCAGTTGCTGCCTCCTCGTTTTTCTTTCTCCAAGTCTCCATCACTTGCTGCCTCCTCTTGTCCAAAACTGCATCAGTTGTTAGTCCCGTGTTCCCGTCCCTTACCTCCAATCACCTCTTCTGCAGCTCCCCGACACCTCATACTGCCCCAGCGCCAGGCAGTGCAGGAGGTGAGCCGTATCGTTGGGAAGAGAGGCGCCCGCCTGGTGGCTGCTGGCATGGCATGGTGATTTCATCCACTCACACTCCTATCTCTCCCCTCTTTTTCTCCACCCCCCCCCCACTCACAGCTCCCTGACACCTCATTGGCCCAGCGCCAGGCAGTGCAGGAGGTGAGCCGCATCTTTGGGGAGAGAGGCGCCCGCCTGGTGGCTGCTGGTATAGTGGGTGTGCTGCAGAAGCTGGGGCGAGATGGAAAGGCAAAGCCAAGCGCACAGATTAGCACAGCTGATGCCGCAGCAGCTGTTGACGGGGAAGCAGCAGAGGGGGCAGCAGAAGCAGAGGCAGGGGCAGGTCTGGGGCATGTGCCGAGGACAGTGGTCGCAGTGGACGGGGGTATGTACGAGCATTACACTCCGTTCCGGGAGGGTATTCACGAGACGCTCAAGGAGCTGCTTGGGGAGGAGGTGGCAGGGTTTGTGAGCATGAAGCTGTCGAAGGATGGGTCGGGAATCGGTGCTGCTCTGCTGGCTGCCTCACATTCGGCCTACAAGGAGTAAAGCGAGGAGGGATGGACAAAGGGCCTTGCTGGGGAGGAGGTGGCGGGGTTTGTGAGCATGAAGCTGTCTAAGGATGGGTCAGGGATTGGCGCTGCTCTGCTGGCCGCTTCGCATTCCGCTTACAAGGAGTGATGCGGGGAGGGAAGGGCAGGGGGGGTGGTGCAAGGAGGGGTGTTCGACCATGTGGGTGATCTTGTGTAGACTAAGAGGCGTGAAGCTGCTTGGCGAGGAGGTGGCGGGGTTTGTGAGCATGAAGCTGTCGAAGGATGGGTCGGGAATCGGTGCTGCTCTGCTGGCTGCCTCACATTCGGCCTACAAGGAGAAAAGCGAGGAGGGATGCTCAAGGAGCTGCTTGGGGAGGAGGTGGCGGGGTTTGTGAGCATGAAGCTGTCCAAGGATGGGTCGGGTATTGGTGCTGCTTTGCTGGCCGCCTCGCATTCGGCATACAAGGAGTAATGCACAGGGAGATGTCGCACAACGAATGGTGCAAGGCTGGATGTTAGAGTGTGTGTGGTTTCGCTTTTTGAGAGGGAAGTGCGGGGTGTGTGAGCATGAAGTTTTTCAAGAATGGTTCAGGGATTGGTGCTGCCATGCTAGCCGCCTTGTAAGGATTTGTATTGGAGCATGTCTGCGCAGTGAGGGTGTGATTGGGAAGGAGCTTTCTGACTAGTTCTGTACAGGGGGGTTGGATTACCAGCATTGACTGTTTCCTACATTTTGTACATGGACCTGTGTTGTTCAGCATGCGTGATTTGGGCTCAAAAAAATGCGACTGTTTATACCCAATGTTTCTATCACCCCGTGTTCATATTCCCTTCACTTGTGAAATGATTTTGAAGTACGGTAGCTGTCCTCAACACCACCATAGGTAGATACCGTATGTCTGGTCTGGATGTGACTTGGATTGGAAGTGATGCTACATTCTTATTTCGTGGACCTGTACTAGGAATGCAAGGTGTAACACCACACATGACAACTACGGTATGCTGGAAGCTAGACACTGCCTACCTTTCTCTCTACCACATCTCAGGGACATGGCAAAGTGATCAGGCCCGGCTACAGAACAACCACTGACAATTATGAAGAGGATAAGTGTGAGCCAAGCCGAAGAGTAATGCCAAAGGGATCACGAAGGTACCCGACAGTCTGGCCCCACTCCTTGGGCTCTGGTTTGGCAACTTCCCTAGCTCCCGCCTTTAGGGCTCTCTGCATACGACAAATTACCGAGTTCATGTCAATCCATCCTTCACCAGGTCAACTTCAGGATATCTAAAGTCACGCTAACAAGCAAGGGATTCCAGCCAACTGGAGAAAATGACATGCCTGTACCTCAAAAGTATCTTGGACGTCGAAAACGCTAATGCTTATCTCCACGTTCTGTCGCTGCTCCTCCTCCTCAGGAGCATGCACACCACCTGTGATCTTCGTCTCCCTTTGCTCCAGCGGGGTAAACGCAAGCGTTGTTGACCCAGACTCTAATTCAGCCCATCTGACAAGCAAAAGGAGTGGCTCAAAGAATTGAGGTAACATGCATTTTGAAAGGGGAAAACGAAAAAGGCAGACAGAAACCATTCAGCAGCACAATGAACAACAGAGGGGAAGAAAACAAAAAATCGTATTGCTTGAATACCTTCTGCTGTTGTCCACGCGCCTCACATCGAACATGAACACGTCCTTGTAGAATTTCACTGCTGCGTCGATGTCTTCCACGTAGAGAATCACGTACGCGAGACGAGCTCCTGCTGGCGGAGACATGGGTACCTTAGCTCTTGACTTCTTGCGAGAAACGGAGAATATTACTGGTGCAAGATTACTGGCTCAAAGCACGATGCGGAACGCGAACAATCAGTCGGGCTCTGGGTAGAATGACACCGCGTTTGCCAGCAGGAGCCCGATAAAAATCCGCGAGTGGCAGCAAGGAGGCTGTTCGCGCGCAAAGGCTTCTCTGCACATGACGTCCATTGATTTGCCATGGCCCGAAGCGCGGAAACAGCTCGAGAGGCTTGATTTTGCAACGCGTTTGACTGAGACGGTGCTCAGCATGCGTGCCACGTTGGGACAACCTCTAAGAGTGACCACGTAAGCTAGGGGGCTGGTAGAGTTGACTTGTGGTGGGACCATGAGGATGCGTTACAAGTAAGCAAGGTGGAGAATCGAGGTCCAATATCCAGCAATATATTGCACTGCCTGCGTCAGCAGGCAGTGCAATGAGTCAGCGGGCAAGAAAAAAAAATAAAACCCACTCGGAAGGCATGCCATCCGAGAGAGCCTCAACCCTAAAATTTTAGGGTTGAGGCTCCCGAATGGCATGCAGTCCGAATGGGTTTTAGTTTTTTCTGCCCGCGGTCAGCATGCTGACTCACTCGGTAGCGTCGTCTAGCGAAACGGCGCAGGCAGTGCAATGAGTCAGCGGGCAAGAAAAAAAATAAAACCCACTCGGAAGGCATGCCATCCGAGAGAGCCTCAACCCTAAAATTTTAGGGTTGAGGCTCCCGAATGGCATGCAGTCCGAATGGGTTTTAGTTTTTTCTGCCCGCGGTCAGCATGCTGACTCACTCGGTAGCGTCGTCTAGCGAAACGGTAGCGCTACCGAGCGCTACCGACGCTACCGAGTGAAATATATTACCCAAATTAACATTTAAATATGCAGATTACTTATTGAACCTACCGAACCATGTCGAACCCCTTTAGGGGACGATCGTATGCCGTAAAAATATGGACGGAAGTTCTTTCGCGTGTGTTGCGAACGTGTTCGTCATTTCTCCAATTTCGCTCGGGCGTTTCGCTTCGCCAACTCCCAACCAGCACATGAACCCTTGAACCAACCCCAGTCGGGCTTTCCTTGCAGCAACCCTTGTTGCACACAACGGCGTCTTCAGTGCTGCGTGTTGCACACACATACCGATCTTGAAACTCGTCACAGACGCGAAGTCGCGCTTGTTGCTTCTGCTATGCGAATATCACTGCTCCCTTTGGGGTAGAGTCATCTCAGGGTACCCTGACGCGCCGCTCGTCGACGATCCAGGGTTGCGCGCATACTGGGGTTGTCTGGTCCATTTCGGTACTCGTTGACGTGTCCGCAGCATCACTACCTCCCCTTGTTAGAATTCGCCGTACTATACGGCCGTGTCATACTTCTGAGGCTGTGAACTTTGTCGAGTGTTTTTGTCCGCGTCGTTACAATTCTCTGCGTCCACCATGTCGTACGACGAGGTGGAGATCGAGGACATGGAGTGGAACGAGGAGTTGGGGGCGTTCACCTATTCCTGTCCGTGTGGCGACCTTTTCCAGATTACTCTCGTAAGCTACTATATGCGTGTGAAAGCGCCTAGCTGCTCTCATCCTAGGTTATATGCGTAGGGTTTCTCTTATTGAGTATTGATACCCTTCTCCATCGCTCCGTTCCATGTGCCACGGTGATTGACGCTGATTCTTGTGATGCGAATCGTTGACTTCTTTGTGGGTAGGAGGAGTTAAAAAATGGAGAGGAGATCGCAAGTTGTCCAAGCTGCTCCCTTTTCATCACAGTCATCTATAATTCCGTGAGTCTTTCTGAAATCAGTTTGTTAAGCCTTTTTGTTATACTTGACGAGCTCACTAATCAACTTGTTGGCCTACTTGCAGGAGGACTTCCAAGGGGATGACCCAGGTAAAGTGGAGCCTGTGGGTCCAGAGGGTGTTTTAGTGGCCTAGGTGATCTTTGTTCAAGTTCAGCTGCCTTTGCTTTATTGTATGTTCCTATATCTTTGCATATAGTAGGCAAGGCACAAAAGCTGGGCATGCCGTAAGACACCTATTTGTGAACTCAAGAAGTCTGTACATTGTTTTTGTATTTTGTTTTGTGAATGATAGAAGTTTCTACAGTGCTGGCATGTGCTATAATTTTATAGTAATAACGAAACTTAGTGAGCTCTCAAGTCACAAAATCACGTCGCATTTTTCGTTGCCCAAGGGTCGACACTTGAGAGAGCTCTCCAGTCATTTGAGGTGAAAACTGCAGGTGAGCGACAGCCATTCTGACTCTGAAAGCTCTTCAACCAGAGACACGACAATGAGGCCTGTGATTACTGCTTCTAAACAGAGGTCGTTACAGGTCAGCTGCTTCCCTCGCCCCAGCTCTTAGAAGCCGTGCGCTGCTTTTGTTTAACTCTTTCTCATGGTAAATTCAGGTCGTAGTGAGGGTGCGGCCATTATCCAATAGGGATTTAGGAAGGAGCAGACATGACATCGTTCGTGTACTGGACGACAAGGTGCTGTCTGCACACCCATGTTTTCCTTTCCCGTTCTGCTCATTACTAATTTGCCGAGCTCGTACAGACTGTCGTTGTGCTGGATCCGGATGTGGATAAACAATACCTTGATAAGGTTCAACACCGAACAAAAGAAAAGCACTTCTCGTTTGACAAGGCCTTCAATGGCGTTTCGTCCAATATGGTCAGTTGCGAGACCACTAGAAAACTTCATCTCGAGGACCTTCTGAGATTGGAGAAACAATAATTGTGGCAATGCGCAGGAGATATACACTCCCACAGTGCAGCCCATGATACAGGGCCTTACCGAAGGTCTAAATGCCACAGTAAGTTTTGGAAGTCTTACCCCATTGCAATCTGCCAAGTGTTAACACGTTTTCCCAATTTCAGGTCTTCGCTTATGGTGCAACTGGAAGGTGAGCAAGCTGGAAACTCCTGTTCTTTCTCTAGATGTTTTAACACTCTTGACACGGGTATGTGGCAGCGGGAAGACATGGACAATGGTTGGTAATGACGAAGATCCGGGACTCATGGTGCTGGGTTTCAATGACATTTTCAACCTCGTGAACGGCATGCAAGTTAACCCAGGAGAGAGTGTTGACATTTCATGCTCGTACCTGGAAATCTACAATGAGGTTAGTTGACAAGGCGCAACAATTGCATCGCCAATATGCAAATCCATTACAACCTGGGATTCGTCGGGCAGATCATATATGACCTCTTGGTGGAAGCGTCTGGAAGCTTGGAGTTGAGAGAAGATCCTGGTCAGGGAGTTTCTGTTGCTGGTTTAAAACGCATCAAGGTAATGTCAGCAATACGCGTATGAGTGCCTTATTCTTTACCTAATCTTAAGATTCGCAGGTTCAAAGTGCTGGAAAGATATTGGATTTGTTGAGACAAGGGAATCTTCGGCGGAAAACCGAGAGCACAGACGCCAACCTGACATCATCAAGGTATAAATTTCTGTTTGTCGAACCGCACACCAGATGTACCCGATTAACACAAGTATGGAAACTCCAGGTCCCATGCTGTCCTACAGATTGATGTTAAGAGAGTGGTTTCGTCACGCTCAGCTGAACGCGTGATGGGAGCGAAGCTTTGCTTGGTGGATTTGGCTGGAAGGTAAGGACCCTCCCGTTTTTCCCGTGTCTTGCATCATGTGCAATGCTTTTGACACACGTGACAGTGAACGAGCTTCAGAGACAAACAACATGGGACAGCAGTTAAGGGATGGCGCAAACATAAACAAGTCTCTTCTTGCACTCTCTAACTGCATCAACGCACTATGCCAGCAGCAGAAGCGAGGGGTTGGCTACGTTCCTTACAGAAACAGGTAGTTTGAGATTTAACCCACATAGCATCTGTTCCGGATCTGACTATGTATGGTTGCGTGCAGCAAGCTGACAAGATTGTTGAAAGATGGCCTTAGTGGCAATTCACGAACTACAATGGTAGCTACAATTTGCCCTGCTGCTGACCAGTACCATCACATAATCAACACTTTGAAGTATGCTGACCGTGCAAAAGAGATCAAAACACGAATAAGGGTGAGTCTGAATTGTGATGCCCTTCGTTTCCCTTCATAGTGTGCTAATGCTTATGTCATTCAGACCAATGTGCGAACTGTGGACTCTCAATCAGGCGACTACCTCAGAATGATTGAGAAGCTTCAGGTGTGTCTTTGTTCAGTTTCCTCTGTCATTCTTGTGGATGTGAATTATTAATATTTGTCTCATGTGCCTGCTACCCAGGAGGAAGTAAGCATGCTGAAGGGTCAGTTGGCTGAGCAAGCAACCACTTCCAGTATAAACCATGTTGGTGATCCCTCTGGCACGTCATGGCTAGACAACATAAGTAGGCAACTGAACGAAAACGTCCAGGAGCGGATTAACATGCAAAAAGCCATGTGCGAGCTCAACGAGTGCTTGAAGAGGGCTGGTGATGAAGTTTGCCGATTGGACCAGAAGATTGCTATTTTACAGGTACTAAATCCTGCTCTTATGAGATGAAGAAGAAATGAATTATTGAACGATGGGTTTTTGTTTTGGAGCAGAATGAGGAGGATGTTTCCATGAAGTTGGACGAATTGCGTCATCAGAGAGCAGCTGTCGTGGAAAGCATGTGTGAGAATGAGGAGCTGAAACTACTATATGCAAAGGTATGCGTTCAATGATCTGCAGCTATTCAAGAAGCTGGTCTTTTGACTTCTGGGCCATTTCAGGACATCAGCAATAATGAGGCCGAAAGAGAGCTTCTTCAGAAAAGGCTGGACTCATTTGTCAATAACCATGACAATTCCTCATTTCTGCACATTCTCAACCAGTTCAGGTTCCTAGTAAGTTTTCATGGCTTTTGTCACTTTGTGCTTTGTTGAGTTGATTCTCAAATATTGTTTGTTGCTAGCAGAGTGTGGAGATGACAGAGATGCAATTTCAATTGGCGCTGAGAGATCAGCTAATAGCGGAAAAATCATCAGCAATGAACAGCCTTTGGATGTTACTCCAAGCATCAGACGTTGACATCGAGGAGCTGCTTGACGCAGCCATCCAGAAGGTAAGCAGTGTGCGCTAATTCTGGATTGGGAGAACTATAATTTGGGCTGATTTTTCTTCTGTGTGCTCTTCAGGGTGTCCCTCTGGATAGCTCTTTGTCTTCCTACATTGATGTGAAGCTGAAAGAAGCTATAGCTACCCCAAACGGCAGTCCTAAGTTTGCACAATCAGTCTTCCGAGCTGCAACACGAACTGTCCACTCAAGATTGCATCGGGTCAATACAGATCCAGCAGGATCACTATCCCGTCCCTACCTGTCATTCAGTCCAAGTGATCAAAGGAATATTGCTGACTTTCCCACTGAGGACAGAATCAATGCTAGGGAGGATGGGGTGCAGGGCATTCTTGAAGCACCTGCAGCGAATGTGCCCTTCACCCCAAATACAACGAATGGGAGCACGTCAGCTAAATCAATCCATCAAGAACGACACATCGACACTCTAGTTACTGAGCCTAATGCAGGAGAAGTTGAAGGTGATATGGTCCGTGAAGCAGTGCTCGCCAACGCGCTTGTGTCGTCTGAGGCGATATTATGCATCCATCCGATGGAGTTCTCAGCTGCTGAGGCTGAAACGCATGGCTGTCCATCTGGAAGCTCTACTCCACCAAAAACAGCGGCTATTCAAGCTTGTGCAAAGGTGTGTGAACAATTTATTGACTAATTTCAGACTGGTGGGTATACATCATCACTGGTTACTGCCTTATGAACCCTTATGACTGCATTCCCATTCTCCCCTCCTTCCGTTGTGCATTAAACTCTTGGGCAGGTTGTCGGCGAAGTCCCAACCTCCAGGCCCAAAACAAGCTCCCCTCGAAAACGCTTACTTTGGAATGAGAAGCCAGGCACTTCATCAAGTCCAAGCTCACCAGCACGACGAGCTGGCTCACCTGGTGCTTCGGCCACTGGACCAAGACGGCCAGTGCCAAAAGAGCGAAAAATAAGTGCGTTTCACACGAAATGTTTCTGCAGCCACCATGGCAAGGATGAATCAAAGAAGTAACTGTTGCATAGATGCATGAGAGATTTTAGAATGTTTTGTTGTACTTCAATTACATGGCATACGGTAGAAGGAAACAGGAAAATTTTGATACTGTCTATACCTGGAGTTTGTCAAGCGTCATGTGGGAAGACCAGAATGTAAGATGCAGTTCTTTAGTGGCGCACGGTGATTCCAGATGGTGCACAAGTGGTTATTGAGGTTCACCGTTTTGCACCGTGACCAATGAGATTAAATGCTTCAGCCATGCGTGCTTTTCATCGTTATGCTACATGTACTGAACAGCTTGAGCTTTGTACTTCGACATTCTGCCCTTATCCACGGGCTTGTATCGATCAGAGACCAGTGTGAATCGCGCCGCATTGCGCGCCAAAGTCAGCGCTTCGCCCATATGCTGGCATGTGACGCGATCAGCCACAAGCCTGGCAGTCAACCTGATAAGCTTGTGGGGGGTTTGTCTAGGCACTCTGGCGATTCACGAACGACGCGCAGACACCTGCTCAGACGAAATTTCGGCATCCACGGCAACCCCTCCAAAAAGCCCGACTCGCCCAATGAAATGGCACCGCCTGCTACGCGCACACACTTTCCGTCAGCTAACGGGCTCCCCATCCATCACGTCAGTCAGCTCAATCCCCTTCCCACCCCAGCTTTACCGTCATGCTGTGCTGGCAATCCCGCCAGAAACGTGTTCAGGAGAAACACAGCTTCTCCGTCCGTTAGAAACCCAGTTGTTCCCATACGCAGACCGTCAACTGCACTTGACGGAACCCTCGTCGCCCCGTTTGCAACAATTATTGAAGCAGCTGGATTTGGAGTAGGATAGGGTGGTGCGCTCCACCTCTAACGTTCACCCTGACGCCCAGTTCAGCCGTACAGCACCCTTTACCCACCGCTCCCTACCCTGCTTTAGTGACAAACCACAAAACTTGTTCCGCTTTCTCCAGCTCTTTCACCTGAAGGCTTCTGTTGAACTCGTCCAGTGTTCTCCTTACTTTGAGCTTGGTTCACGAATTTTAGTGGCCTCCGTCTATCGTAGTCACGACGCCTTAGTTCGTAGTCAGAGCTTTTTGCGGAGCTAGCGTGTGCTGACGTTCACCATGGTTGCGAAGTGTTTAGAAGTCACTATAGGATCAACGGCTAGTTTGAAAGAGAACAAAACGGTGAATAAGATAGATCCGTATGCAGTTCTATGCTACAATGGAGTGGAGCGTCGCACTGACGTCGAGTGCGGTGCAGCAGGTCGAGCAGTTTGGAACCACCGATTCAATTTCCTTCTCCCTGACCGCGAGCAAGATTACCCTCCAGTGAGTATTGGAAATCAAAACGGCAATGATTATTCGTTTGTTCTCCTCTTTAGCGCAAGATGTTTTAGTTTAATTACGTAGTAGCCTGTTTAACTTGTGTTTTGAATATTCCTTTATTCTAATTTATCCTTACTATGTCCTCGTTTTCCTCCATTCACTACCTTACTCGTCTGCAGGAGATGGACGTTCACATCTGGGACAAGGTAAACGGCCAGGACAAGTACATGGGATTCTGCAAGGTGCACTTGGAGCAGGTCTACCTTCGTCAATCCATGGACGCCGTCTGGCCGGTACATCAACGAAACGGCAAGCTTCTTGGTCACATCAGATTCCATTTCTCAATTCTTGTAGAAGATGTAAATGGCGAGGGTGCTCTGCCGTCCGCTCCTCCGGAAACACCTACTCCTCTCTTAGAGCATCCCCGCGTGAACCGGAGGACCAATACGAACATAGGAAAAGTTACGGCTCTAACAGCTTCAGTTCAAGAAGCTTCGAATAAAGCAGGCACCTGCACGGGGAACGCGCTTGGTGCGCATAATAAAGGCAAGGCTGCTGATTCTTCAGTGACTGCTGCTGCTGCTTCGAACGAGGCTTTGGAGGTGCTTTTGCTGGCCATGCGTCAAGCTCTTCTCCAGCAACAGGAACAGCAGCCACAGCAGCAGCAGAAGCAGCAGCTACAGCAACAGCAGAAGCAGCAACCACAGCAGCAGTACTACCAGCAGCAGCAACAGAAGCCACGAAATTGTCAATTCTCGGACCAGAATGCTCCGAAGATATATCAGCCTCAGCCGAAGCGTATCAACCCTGCTTCAGCAGCACCTCCTGCTGCTATGCCGTCTTCTCCCATGGGGCCTCCTTCTCCTAGCTCTCTGAAGTTCTCTCCGTCCAAAGCGTTCAAAAAGGTCACTGCGACTTCTAGACATGCCGTCCGTCCTGCTTCTTGTAACGGCGCTGGAAACACAACCGACTGCACCGATGGAGGTAGCGGTGCCGTCACCGCGATTGACGGCCGTCCGTCAGCCGCTGACGTCGACTCTCGCGACAGTCAAACGGCTCTCGCTTCGTATGCCGTGCAGCGGTTCACCAATAACGGCGGTGCGGGCTTTGCGCCAGCCAAGCCTCTTCCGCCTCTCAGCGTGATTGGCGGCGGAGATGGCGCTAACGACGGACATGCAGCCTCAGAAGCAGCCTCTGCATTCGCACCCGTGCAACAGCGATCGGGAGCAGGTGCATCTTCGAACGGTCCCGCCTTAGCTTCTGCTCTTACCGCTTTTGCTTGTACGGCTTCCGCTTTTGGTGCTGCCCCCCCTGCTCCTTCTGCTGCTGCTACTACTGCCGGTGGAGCTCACCGCTCTGCGGTTCACCCACCTTCAACTCCTGATGCTCTCGCCGCTGACGTTCTTAGCAAGGGCTGGGACCTCTCCGCCATCGCTTCGCTGACGTCAGCTGTTTTGTCAGCTTCTGGCAAAGGAACACCACAGGGCAAGAACTCTACATCTTCTGTTACTGCTGCCGCTGCTGCTGGGACTAGGCCTGGTGGCGTATCTGCGTCCTCTGCTGCTGCGAGTGGTGCTCCTGCTGGTGCTCGTGCAGGCACTGGGCCGAATCGTCAGGCGATTCTGAACCAGGAGCTGATTGCGGAGGCACTCTGTATGGCTCTGCTGGGCGAAGCAGGCAGGGCTGAGCCTGCAAGGAAGCAGGGGAAGAGCGCTGGCCCTGGTGCTGCTGGTTTGAATGGTTCAAAGCGGAGCTGGGAGGTGCAGGAGGAGAAGAGGGAGAAGTTGGGGGTGGGTGCAGGCGTTGGAGCCGATGACGCGGCTGATGAGGTTCCCAAGCGACAACGCGTTGCTTGACTGCGGATTGGGTGCGTTGCTTGACTGCGGATTGGAAAAGCATCTGCCTAACAAGGCTTTCTTCGGAGCCATGAATAATGCACGGACCAGTGCAAGGAGCAATGGGAGGCTGCCATCGGGATTCGTAGCACATGATGGGGCAGAAGTTGGAATGAGCTGGGAGCTGCGTGTGTTACTCCATCAGACCGACTGATCCGCAGCATCGGACCCGCTGATTTTGTCCAAATAAACGGAGGCACATAGGCGTATGTTGCTGTGCGTTGCTAACCCCAATAAGTGCCATCATTTGTTTGCTTGTTCATGTATTTAGCATCTCTGCAATTTTGATGTTTTGGATCAGGTATATTCCTCTGATTTACTCCAGTAAAACAGTCAGAATGCTTGAGTTGCAGAACCAGAAAAATGAAACCGCAACATGTACCATACACACAAATCAAGGCCATCCTACTGAATCATGTATGTGAAGCGTTCTCATAGACAGTAGCTCATCCATCCACACTGGCTTTGGAATGTTGAAATTCTTCAAGTAGAAACTGTTATCCACCTTCTGTGGCCCATACCTCGCCTGCGGGCAGTTACGAAACTTCGGCCGGTGCTTGTAAATCACCGACTGTTTAGTCACTTCAAACTCGCCCTTTCTCCAGCTCTTGAAGTGTAGCTTCGGCAGGGCCCGTAACGTGAAGTTGACAAATAAATGTGTGTTTAGTTGCGGCATCGCAGGCGAGCGTTCGCAGTAGCGATACTCCATAGGCTTGTTGCTGCCGTTGACTATAATAATATCGAGGTAGTTGTTGGTGGCCAATCCGCTGCACTTGCCAGTCTCCCATGGAAGGTAAGGGTTGGGAACGTTTCCCTTCATGTTGCAATACACTCCGTTGATCTGACTCTGGTTACAAACTGTTTTGAACCAGGGCCAGCGCTGCAGGCAGTAGGGAAAAGAATGTGAGGGAAAAAAAAAGTGTGAGTATATGGGAGGGAGGGAAGGGTGTTTGGGGTGATGCGGGGAGAGGGGGCTGCTTCAGGGTGTGCGTGAAGGATGCAAGAGCAGACCTAGTAGAATTGCCCTAGTCTAGGTGTTTCACTACACGGAAAACGTAAAGAAGTGTTTCAATTTATAGTTCAATTTCATTGACTCTTCAATTACTGCAGTGCGCAGTTGCGCTCGTGACATACCTGGTTGAAGACGGGTGTGTTGTAGTATTTAATCCTCATGTTCTCCCAATAGTTTCCAGGAAACTTGTTGCAGTTGTTGACGGTGGGGGTGAGGCAGGTGCACCAACCAGGGGCCTTGAGTGAGTTCACCACCAAAACATGTTTCAGACGGTTGCTGCAGGAGTTGTTGGGAGGGCGGAGAGTGGGGGAGAGAGTGGTTGGTAAGCTTCACTGGGGTGAGGCAGGTGCACCAACCGCCTTGAGTGCGTTCACCACCAACACATGCTTCAGACGGTTGCTGCAGGAGTTTGTTGGGAGAGGGGGAGAGAGGGAAGCAGGGGAAATGGCGATAAGCTTCAGCGGGGTGAGGCAGGTGCACCAGCCAGGGGCCTTTGTGTGCGTTCACCACCAAGACACGTAGCAGACAGTTGCTGCAAGAGTTGTTGTGAAGGGGGGAGAGGGGGACGTGGCGCTAAGCTTCAGATGGTTGCAGCAGGAGTTGTCAGGAGGGGGGAGAGAGGGGAGAGGGGATGTGAAAAAAATCAAATAGCTGCTGCAGAAGTTGTTGGGAAGGGGGAGAGGGAGAGGAGGAGGGAAGAGGGGGTGGTAGGGGTGGTGGTGCACCCACTCTCTTGCACCCATAGGCAAGTCAGCCAAGTTGTTACAAGTTAAAACTCACAATTTTCCGTTGTTGACTTTGAGCCCATCCCAGTTGTCGTAGCACACTCCTCCTATCACCTTCACTCCTGACGTGTTGTAATCCAGGTAGTAACAGTGGTCACCCCCCTTCACATAGTTACACTCAGCCCTGTTACCTGCAATAAAACAACAAATGGATGAAGAACAGAGGAGAAACATCCGAATTCAGAGTGATACTGATTGTAGTCATCGGATTACACAGCTCAGCCAGAGAGCCGAATGGTCCTATGATAATATGATTATTATCAGAACAGCCTGCTGAACAGCACTACCTGCCCAGCTGCACGCCTACAGGAGAGCACACAAAGCAAACCTTCCAGCCTGTATTGTCAGAAGATTGACTGAGGAGCATCTAGAGAGGACGAAAACTGTCCGCTAGGAGCCACGTTCTTTGCAGATAAGGGGCGACTTTACATAACGAGAAAAGTTGCAGAAAGTATAGCAGGAAAGAGAGAAGCGAAACAAACAAAATATAACTAGCAAAAAGCCAATGATATTAATTTCCCCCACCTGGATTGAACCAATGCGTGCAGTAGTAAATCCCTGCAGAATCTGCGGCTCCAGTCATATTCCTCAGTCTGCTGTACACGTAGTTGTACCCGATGAACCCCAGCATGCAGTCCCCCTGATTTCGCACATCCGCACCGCACCGAATCCCCGCGAACCCATAGTCATGCACGAAATTTTGCACAACTCTAACCCCCACTGCTCCGTTATACACCACTAGCGGCGTATCTGCTCCGAAGACCTCATTATTCGATACAGCGATTCCTGATCGTACTAGCTTCGTTCCGATGCCGCTAATCCCGATTCGTAGCACGCCGTTGCTTTTCCCGAAATCCCACACGCCCGTGACTTTCATGCTGTCGATTCGCGACTTCATACATCGGTACATGTCGATCCGACCGTACACGTATCCCTTCGCGATTTGCACGCCGTACGATCCATATATCCAGACGGCCGGGCAGATTACGCCTTTTCCGACCTCGGGCAGCTCTTGCCGGCAGGAGGGAGAAAACTTCGTGGTCTTGATCACGAAGTTTATCCCCATTATAAGCACGTTGCTGGTGTTGTAGACCCTAATCGCCGGCTGTTTCTCGCCTGGATATGAAACGGTGTAAGCGCCGAACTTAGCGGATTGGAAGATCGTGCAGGAGAAACGCTTATCAAAGATAATCCCTTTGTTAAGCACCATGCTATTCTGCAACGTAAGAACAACCGTTTGCGTAGGGTCGTGCTTCACTCGCGCCTGGATATCCGCTGGCTTTGTCACTGCGATTCTGACAGCTGTTGCCACTGGAGAGCATGGTCCCTGGGTCGCAGGCGGTGCTGACGTGGAAGAAGCTGGCGCTGACGTCGCCATAAGCGAGGCTGACGTGGACGCAGATGCATATTCGATCCCAGCTGCTCCTGTGTCTGCGACTTCCGCTGCAGCTGCCGCGACGGCTCTTTCTGAGTGTGACTGTAACGAAGAAAGACCGGCTACAGTGTTCTCGCTCCCATCAACTTTTATCAAGCCACTGCTCCTTGATTTGCCGGTGTGCCACCTTCCAACCTGTCTGTGTACGCGTTTGTAGCCGCCCCACTCCCTCCCATTCGTACTATCCTCACTCAACTGCCCCCTTACTGTAACTTCTTCTTCCAGGGCCTGAGGAACAACCCTCCCCTTTTTTCCCACCTCTCCCTCCATTTCCCCCTGTACTCCCCCGTCGTCTTCCCCTTCCTCTTCCCCCTCCGCTCCCCACTCCTCTTCCACCTCCTCTTCCCCCTCCATCCCCCCAAGCGCTCTCCCTTCTCTGTGGAGCCGACCGATTCCTGGTGGCAGCGGCGTTCCGGCGAGGACGTCCCACGTGTCCTCCACGTCACCCGCGGCGCGGGCTTCCGTTATTCGGTTGAAGCCGACTCGGCCGCCGTCGCGATGGTGGCGGTGGAAGGGAGTGTGAGTGTAACCGAGAGTGACCCTAACGGATAATAACTGCGCTACTAGCACAAGTACTAACGACATGGCGAGAGGTGTGGCGACGAACGAGCGAAGAATGGCCATTTTGCACGAAACTCTGGAAATCAAGTCCGTCATAAGGCCGAGGTTATACCGCAAAAGACTTGGAGCATAACTGGTGCTGGTATCGCAATTGGCAATGCTCTAGTGATGAGACTAGCCAGCGGATAACTAGAGAAAGGAGCTGGTGTGACAAAAAAACTACACTCGTAGAGCTACCGAATGCGTGGACGTCTCAACGTTACGCTTCGCAGGTACCCTAGGTGAGGCGCTTCCGCGGCACAATAAAATAGTTCGTTCTTAGCGTTGATGTCTGGGCGGGGAAACTGTCCTTAGAACACGCCGTACCGAAACTACCTTCAAAGCTATTTTCATTGCTGCTACAAGTAGACGGCAGCGCCCTCCCATCACAAATGCTATCGCGAAACCCTCTTCGCAGCTGCGTGTAAATGGTCAAAGAGGTAGAGAGGGTATCGAGTGGTTGGTGGCGGCTGGACGAATGGCAAGGTGATGGTGTCGTCATGCACTTAGGTGTGCGTGCGAACATCGTCAATAGCCGTAACGATAATCTACACCACAAGGAAATATGTTGGCTTTAGCTTTCTTGAACTATGCGAACCAGAATGTGGGTTTCCATTCGCGATTGTGGTTCGATAAGTGCACACGCACGCGTGGAGCCAACGTGCCACCCGAACCGAACCAGACAGCGGCACCGAGACGCACCGTAGAACTTAGAAAGCATACCCCAGCCGAGAATCGAGCCGATAAAAAAACATTTCAAGCCCTCAAAGTCTGCTATTTTGCACATTTTGTCTTCAAAAGTTCGAGTTCTGTACTGCCCGAGAATCAGCACGTTCGGTTGTGTGCTTGATTATTCACCGAACCTCCGGCCCGGAGCTGGCACTGACAGTCGCAGCGCCGCAAAACATAACGGACCGCGCCACCGACTGCCAGCAACGCCACAGAGGCGAAATTGGCCGAATCCACGTCTGGTAAGGAAACCACTCTTGGCGGCTGGCAAATTGGCAGTGGTTCAACAGGGTACGGAAAAAGTTCCCGTTTTGTCGGCCATCCATTCTGCTTGCTTTCTTTCCACTTCTCGTGTTCAACGAGTTCTTGCAGACCCATCAGAGACCAGGGATAGAAGCATCGTGTACCAGGACAGGACGTGTAGCCCTCCCTAACATAGCCGAACGGCTGATCAGCTGGTGTCGCCCTGAAACTAATGTTAGCAGCATTAATAAGCGGGAAATTTTAAGAGTAACTGGTCTAGGTTGCGGGAAGCTCGAAGGCTGAAAATGCGCGGCATTGTGCTGCAGATATGCATCCTGCTCGTCGCGGCCTCGGTCGCGTCAGCATGGACAGGTTAGTCAGTTATTCCCTGCACCATTTTCATCGTGCCAGCATGGTTCAACTATTACTATCTCTTCCTATATCACACTCTCCCATCTTACTATCGCGCTCTTTCTTACATTTTGCTTCAAATCTCCGCGTTACAATAACCCCATCCGTGCCTTTATTCGTTCATTACAGTCACAAGAAATCATCACGCTTTGAGGTCTCAGCCTCCGCAATCCCATCGCTTCCTTTACTCCCCTTATTTCTTCGTTAAAATCACAGGAAATCATCCCGCCTCGATGGGTCATCATGCAGAAGGCATGGGGCACCATCACGACCCGAACATCCACCCGGACGACCCTCGTTACAATCACAATCACTTCCTCTTCCATCAATCTGGTAACCAGCCGCCGCCTCTATTCGCCGCCGTCGCCGCGGTCGCAGCTGCCGGGAGACCTGCTTGGGAGAGTCCTGGATTTGCAGCTACGTCGAATGCGGCAACAGTCGCGACTGCTGAGGCAACAGCAATGGGTGAAGGCGGAGGAGGTGGAGGAGGAATAGCCTCGATTGCCACCGCGGCGGGCGGAGGAACAGTCGCAGGGAACGAAAGGGCCGTGATTGTAGGCCCTGTAGACATCGAGAAGCTATTCCTTCCGGAAGCGGGCAACGCGGCGGCATCTGCGGGGCCGACAGCGACGAAGGGACCCCCAGGGCCGTGCTCGAGCCTTAAGAAAGTCTACATTATCAATGTCACGAAAGTGTCGCACCTGAGCACGCGAACCATGCTCCCGCCCACCGCCACTGTTGTTCTCTACCTGAAAAACGACCTGGCGCTGACCAAGGGCCTTATGTTCAACGCGCCGTACTCGTGCACGATTCTGATGAGCGAAAAGTGGCCGGGGTTTACTATATCGAGTACGGACTTAACGAACCCGGTGATTCGCGTGTGGAACACGAACAACTTCGTGTCGATGAACGTTAACTACAAACTGCCGGTGACGGAAAGTAGCCCGGAATGCACCAACGTGCCGGAGCTCGGGGCGGGTGTGACGTGTCCGGCTGTGTCGGTGTACAAGTCGTATGGAGTGCAGATCGGCATGGTGAGTGACCGTTGCCGATTTTCTATTGCCATTTCCGAGTTTTTGCTTCTCATCTCCCTCGACTTTCCGCTTTTTCCTCAAATAGGAATGGTTGTCTCGGTTTACAAGTCTTATGGAGTGCAAATCGTTCGCCTTTTCTCCCCCCAACCACTCCCATATTCCACAATGCATGGTGTACGGACGAGTGGACGTCCTTAGGAACGTGGTCGTTCGGACTCACTCCGCTCTCTTACTAACACCCTAACTCCCCTCTCCGTCGCCCCCGCGAAATGCCTTCCTCTCTTGAGCTCCTGCTCTCCCCGTTGTTTCTCAGGGCACGGTTTACGGACGAGTGGACGTGCTGAGGAGCATGGTCGTGCGCATCGATTCGCTCAAGGTCACCGGAGTGGCTACCTTCGACAAGTCGCCGGGCGCCATTCGCGTCGCGATGTCGGGCTACGGCCCTGACCTCCTGCGCGCCCAGATCGTCCTCTCGAGCAACGAGGTCTTCGGTGAGCGAGTGGATTGACGTTTTCTTCGTGGTATTTGATTGAGTCGAGGTCTGACTTCTTAATTTGGTTTCCAGACAGGTTTTTGTTTTGTTTGTTTGTTTGTTTGTTTGTTTGTTTGTTTTTGGTCTCTTCTTGCCAATGATATGTTTCAAGTAGCGAGATCTGACTTGAGAAACTCGTTTCCCAACCCAAGGGTATTTTCTTGTGCTTATTACCTCCCCCTCTCCACACCCCCCCTCCCCTCCCCCACCCCCCCTTCCCCCTCCTTTTCCCCTCCCCCCCCGTTCCGCACAGGCGTAAACACCCCGATCGTTTTGCACAGGGGCGCGGTGGGCATAACCGTTACGAACAACTTCGTGCACAATTTCATTTTCGCGGGCATTCGGTGTGGCGCGGACGTGCACTACAGCGGCGACTGCATGCTGACGCGGATCAACTGGAATCGGGTGGTGGCAACGGCGAGGAACACTAACGGGGATCACGACGCGGCGGGGATCTATTACTGCACGCACTGGTTCAACCCTGGTAAGATAAAAAAATACTGTCTAATATTCAAGACTCTCAATATTGCTCAAATAATGGGAACAACAAATTAGGGCTCGACGTTTTGTGGGGGACCGTGGTTCTCATGTTGGGAGCAGGTGGAAGTGGGGGAGGAGAGGGGTGGGTGGGCTGGGGAAATAGGGGAAATGGTATTCTGGGATTCGTTGACTTCAGTAGACATGGGAAGGTGAAGGAAGGACACAAGCACTGTCACAGAAACAAGGGCAGTTACATAGAAATACAATAATTGCTGATTTCAAGGCCTGCGTGAATGTTAAAACCGCTGCTTTTCAGTCCCACAAGGCAATTTGGCCATAAGCTGGTGCAAACACCACACAGCGCACACCTGCTCACCTTATCCCCTGTCCTTGTCTTCACCATTGGTATGCAGGCAACAGAGCGTTTTGCAACTATGTGTTTAACGGAGATCACTGTTATTATCTGGATTATTGCACGTCTGGCGTAATTGTAAGAGGCGGAGCTTGCATCAACACGTACGACGGCATGAAAGTGAATAATGGCAAGAGGTGAGAAATTTGTTCACATGAGCTTTTGTATTATTGACTTACCAATCTTATGTCAATCTACCCTTATAATACTACGTGCATAAGGACTCTCTGCTGCTTATTTTCATGCTTAAAACTTGTTCAGATGTCCGTGCGTGTCACTTGCTCGCATGATAGACCACCCTCATATGACGTTTGAGACATCTCAAAAGTCTTCCACTTACATGCGGATCCTGAGAAGTCTCAAAACTTGCTCAGGTGTCTGTGCTTCTCATTTGTCCGTAAATCGTTTCAGCCATGCTCAAAAGCTCGTTATCCTATTTATCATCCCCCGTACTTCCCCACTCGTTACAGGAACGTGATAAAGCACGTGGCGATGAAGGGCACACAGGGATCCCCCGGTTGGACCACGTGCTTTACAGTCACGCTCAACAACTGCCTCAAGGACCCTGGTAGCTACTGGGAGGCCATGCGCGCCAAATACTACAACACACCTGCGATCAATGCGGTGAGTTCAGCCAAGGAAAATTGAGCACATCATTTACAGTCACAGACATGAACTGCGTCATGGAGTACCAAGGGCAAGTGAGTACCTTCTGTACGGTCACAATAAGCAAGCACGTTTCTTACATTCACGGTCAGAAGATGGTTCTTTCCATTCATGCTCAACAGCTGCCTCGAGAACCCTGGCAGATTCTGGGGGGCTGATTCCATAACTCTGATAAATGCAGTGCGTTTTACCCCGTCGCAAAGGCTGCTGCAGCCAATAAACACATTCTTTGCAGCCAAGTGCTTTTTGCACTTATCCTGTCCCTTCAAATATCAAACATTGTCCTCCTCAGTGTTGGCTGTGTATGATAGCTGTCAATGAAGTCTGTGCATATAACAGATTGCCTTGGAGTAGCTACTTTGACCAATGCTTTCGAATCCACTCGGAGAACATCTCTCTCCCGCTCTCTTCTTCCTCTCTAACCGCTTCTCCCCAAACTTTGTTC